ACAAAATGAACGGTATGGTAAACAACACAGCTCAATTCCAACTCAGTGCCACACAAAATAATTAAATCAAAATGAAAGTAAATCGAAATCTGTGAAAATTCAATTCATGAATGTAATCGGAAACATTGAAATACAATCATAACATATTTAGCATAGTGTGTGATGCTGTTACATGCAACAGATGACGCTGTTTTTTAAAAAAAAACATGTTTTTACCTGTCACAGGTGTGTGGCAGCTATAAAGTAGCTATATAAAAACACGCGTGTATTCGAATGGAACGTTGTGTCAAAATTTCAAAGAAATTTGTGAAGAATTTTCGGAGATTACAGCATTTGTTGCTCTTACGTCCAGCAGATGGCCCTGTCTTTCAGAAAAAGCATGTTTTTCCAGACACAGACGTGACATCTGTATAGTATATATATATATATACATACAACTTTAGAACACTTTCCCACCAGGAGACTCGAACCCTAGCCAGCACAGAAGCCTTCCTGCAACTGGCATAACAGGTACGCCTTTAACCCACTGCACCACCGCTCAGACCCTTAAAAGAAATGGTAATTTCGGAGTATTTATACACACCAAATACCACCTTCCCCCAAGTGCTGGGAGTGACAAACAACAACGTCTTTGGGAGAGCAAGAATCACCAGCATGTACACAATGCTGAAACAGAGACGAATGCGCTGGCTCGGGCACGTTGTGCGAATGGGTGACGGCAGGATCCCCAAGGATCTCCTGTACGGAGAGCTGAGGCAGGGAAAGCGTCCAACAGGCAAGCCCCAGCTACGGTACAAAGACGTGTGCAAGAGGGACCTGAGAGCCATGGACGTCGACCTTGCCACGCGGGAAACACTGGCCGCAGACTGATCAGCCTGGAGGCAGTCTGTTCAGAAAGGTCTCTCCAGGTTCGAGGAGTCACTTGCCAAGCAATCGGAGGCAAAGAGACAGAGAAGGAAAGCCTGTAGCCAGGAAGACAGACCAGAATCGGACTTCCTTTGTGCTCAGTATGGGATGGTCTGCCACTCTCGGATTGGCCTCATCAGTCACACCAGACGCTGCACCAGGACCGACAACTAGAGCCCAACTCCATAGTCTCCCGAGACTGAAGGATCACTACTGCCATGTGTGTGTGTGTGTACTCACCTATATGTACTCACCTATATGTGCTTGCAGGATCGAGCATTGACTCTTGGATCCCGCCTTTCGAGCATCGGTTGTTTACAGCAATGACTCCTGTCCCATTTCCCTATCATACCTGGTTTTAAAATTATGAATAGTATTTGCTTCCACAACCTGTTCCTGAAGTGCATTCCATTTCCCCACTACTCTCACGCTAAAAGAAAACTTCCTTACATCTCTGTGACTCATCTGAGTTTCAAGCTTCCATCCATGTCCTCTCGTTCTGTTACTATTCCGTGTGAACATTTCGTCTATGTCCACTCTGTCAATTCCTCTGAGTATCTTATACGTTCCTATCATGTCCCCCCTCTCCCTTCTTCTTTCTAGTGTCGTAAGGCACAGTTCCCTCAGGCGCTCTTCATACCCCATCCCTCGTAGCTCTGGGACGAGTCTCGTTGCAAACCTCTGAACCTTTTCCAGTTTCATTATATGCTTCTTCAGATGGGGACTCCATGATGAGGCGGCATACTCTAAGACTGGCCTTACGTAGGCAGTGTAAAGCTGTATGTATGTGTAAAGTGTAAAGTGTGTGTGTGTGTGTGTGTGTGTGTGTGTGTGTGTGCGTGCGTGTGTGTGTGTGCGTGCGTGTGTGTGTGTGTGTGTGTGTGTGTGTGTGTGTGTGTGTGCGTGCGTGTGTGTGTGTACTCGGTAATACACTCATGCAAGAAAAAAAAAAATTCTTCTCAATTTAAATTTCCACTTCCATCACACCAATTTACTCCATATAAGATAATGGCACACATTACAGGAAGCAAGAGAGCGCTTGATCACGTAAATGTTCACTGTGGCCCTGCAAATATTGACATCTTCAATATGGAAAATTAGTACATTTTTACAGAGGATGAAAACGTCGTTCTCAGCCCTCAGTCACCGTTACTGTGAGGACCCCAGCCTCAGCTCCCAGTCACCGTTACTGTGAGGACCCCAGCCTCAGCTCCCAGTCACCGTTACTGTGAAGACCCCAGCCTCAGCCCCCAGTCAGCGTTACTGTGAAGACTCCAGCCTCAGCTCTGTCACCGTTACTGTGAAGACTCCAGCCTCAGCCCCCAGTCACCGTTACTGTGAAGACTCCAGCCTCAGCTCCCAGTCACCGTTACTGTGAAGACCCCAGCCTCAGCTCCCAGTCACCGTTACTGTGAGGACCCCAGCCTCAGCTCCCAGTCACCGTTACTATGAGGACCCCAGCCTCAGCTCCCAGTCACCGTTAATGTGAGGACCCCAGCCTCAGCTCTCAGTCACCGTTACTGTGAGGACCCCAGCCTCAGCTCCCAGTCACCGTTACTGTGAAGACCCCAGCCTCAGCTCCCAGTCACCGTTACTGTGAGGACCCCAGCCTCAGCTCCCAGTCACCGTTACTGTGAGGACCCCAGCCTCAGCTCCCAGTCACCGTTAATGTGAGGACCCCAGCCTCAGCTCCCAGTCACCGTTAATGTGAGGACCCCAGCCTCAGCTCCCAGTCACCGTTACTGTGAGGACCCCAGCCTCAGCTCCCAGTCACCGTTACTGTGAAGACCCCAGCCTCAGCTCCCAGTCACCGTTACTGTGAAGACCCCAGTCTCAGCTCCCAGTCACCGTTACTGTGAGGACCCCAGCCTCAGCTCCCAGTCACCGTTACTGTGAAGACCCCAGCCTCAGCTCCCAGTCACCGTTACTGTGAACACCCCAGCCTCAGCTCCCAGTCACCGTTACTGTGAGGACCCTAGCCTCAGCTCCCAGTCACCGTTACTGTGAAGACTCCAGCCTTAACTCCGTCACCGTTACTGTGAGGACCCCAGCCTCAGCTCCCAGTCACCGTTACTGTGAAGACCCCAGCCTCAGGCCAGAAATCTGTCACAGTAACCAAATATACATTATATATTATACTATATTGATACTATAGTATAAAATATATATATTACTGTATTATACAATATAGTACGAATATATAAAATACAAAAATACATTACATTCTTGCACTATATATATAACAAATATTGAACTTCTCTCCCATTCCTCGAAGGAATCGACCAATCCGTTCAAAAAGCGACGTAGTAGTGACAACTAAAGCTCTCTAATACTGACGTTTTCGATGCGTCGGCCTCGATGGGTTAGGTGGGTTGTGTGGGTTGGTACGTTTCTGTCTGGCAAACCATTTGTGTTGTTTACGAGTGAATATAGTGACTATAGCTGCTACAGTGACTATTGGTGCTACAGTGACTATTGGTGCTACAGTGACTATAGCTGCTACAGTGACTATAGCTGCTACAGTGACTATAGCTGCTACAGTGACTATAGCTGCTACAGTGACTATTGGTGCTACAGTGACTATTGGTGCTACAGTGACTATTGGTGCTACAGTGACTATTGGTGCTACAGTGACTGTAGGTGCTACAGTGACTGTAGGTGCTACAGTGACTATAGGTGCTACAGTGACTATAGGTGCTACAGTGACTATAGGTGCTACAGTGACTGTAGCTGCTACAGTGACTATAGCTGCTACAGTGACTATAGCTGCTACAGTGACTATAGCTGCTACAGTGACTATAGCTGCTACAGTGACTATAGCTGCTACAGTGACTGTAGGTGCTACAGTGACTGTAGGTGCTACAGTGACTGTAGGTGCTACAGTGACTGTAGGTGCTACAGTGACTGTAGGTGCTACAGTGACTGTAGGTGCTACAGTGACTGTAGGTGCTACAGTGACTGTAGGTGCTACAGTGACTGTAGGTGCTACAGTGACTGTAGGTGCTACAGTGACTGTAGGTGCTACAGTGACTGTAGGTGCTACAGTGACTATAGTTAATCTCCAAAAGTTCTTCACCGATTGCTTTGAAATTCCGACCCAACGTTCCATTCGAATATATGCGTGTTTTCATATGCCTACTATATTGATGCCACAAATTTGACAGGTAAAAACATGCTTTTATTTTAAAAACAGCTTCATCTGTTGCACGTAAGAGCAACACACACTATACTAAATATGTTACGATTCCATTTCAATGTTTCCGATTGCATTGATAAATTAAATTTTCATAGATTTCGAGTTATTTTCATTTCAATTTAATTATTTGGATGACACTGCATTGGAATTGCGCCGTGTTATTTACCATAACATTCATTTCGTGAGTATAAGTAGAGATGCCACACCTGTGACAGGAAAAAACTTTTTTTTTTTTTATTAAACAGCGCCATCTGTTGCACGTACGAGCAACACACGCTCTACTAAATCTGTTACGATTCCATTTCAATGTTTCCGATTGCATTGATAAATTAAATTTTCATAGATTTCGATTTATTTTCATTTTGATTTAAATATTTTTATGACATTGCACTGGAATTGAGCTGTGTTGTTTACCATACCGTTTATTTCATGAGTATAGTTTATTTTTTTATTTTTCATTGTTTTTCATTTCGTTTTTAACCGTTTTTCTTATATATCAGTGATGGGAACATTAGATCATTAGGTAATGCATCGAACGAGGGAGTGGGGAATGGTGGGGAGGACGAGGGGATGGGCGTGGGATATGGTTGGGAGGACGAGGGGATGGGGAAGTGAGGGGATGATGGGGGAGGACGAGGGGACAGGGAAGGTTGCTGAGCCACAGCAACGCGTGCCCGGGTACAGCGCATCATGTATACGTATAACACAATTATACATACGCATGAAGGTTGTATAGTGAACTACACAAGTATACGTATTCATGATGGGTATATGGTGAAATACATGCATGTATTGCTGTATTAGAAGAGCATATAGAAAAGAAGAGAATTATTGTCTTATCATGATCTATTTTCCTGCTTTTAATTTTTGTTTTTTGTTTCTTCCTTGTGCTTGCTAGGACAAGGCTGTGGTAGGTATCAGTGTCTGGTTGTCCTGGTTGTCCTGGTGTCTGGTTGTCCTGGTTGTAGTGGTTGTCCTGGGTGTCTGGTTGTCCTGGTGTCTGGTTGTCCTGGTGTCTGCTTGTCCTGGTTGTCCTGGTGTCTGGTTGTCCTGGTGTCTGGTTGTCCTGGTGTCTGGTTGTCCTGGTGTCTGGTTGTCCTGGTGTCTGGTTGTCCTGGTTGTCCTGGTGTCTGGTTGTCCTGGTGTCTGGTTGTCCTGGTGTCTGGTTGTCCTGGTGTCTGGTTGTCCTGGTGTCAGGTTGTCCTGGTGTCTGGTTGTCCTGGTGTCTGGTTGTCCTGGTGTCTGGTTGTCCTGGTGTCTGGTTGTCCTAGTGTCTGGTTGTCCTTGTTGTCCTAGTGTCTGGTTGTCCTAGTGTCTGGTTGTCCTGGTGTCTGGTTGTCCTAGTGTCTGGTTGTCCTAGTGTCTGGTTGTCCTGGTGTCTGGTTGTCCTGGTGTCTGGTTGTCCTGGTGTCTGGTTGTCCTGGTGTCAGGTTGTCCTGGTGTCTGGTTGTCCTGGTTGTCCTGGTTGTCCTGGTTGTCCTGGTGTCTGGTTGTCCTGGTTGTACTGGTTGTCCTGGTGTCTGGTTGTCCTGGTGTCTGGTTGTCCTGGTATCTGGTTGTCCTGGTGTCTGGTTGTCCTAGTGTCTGGTTGTCCTTGTTGTCCTAGTGTCTGGTTGTCCTAGTGTCTGGTTGTCCTGGGGTCTGGTTGTCCTGGTGTCTGGTTGTCCTAGTGTCTGGTTGTCCTAGTATCTGGTTGTCCTGGTGTCAGGTTGTCCTAGTGTCTGGTTGTCCTAGTGTCTGGTTGTCCTGGTGTCTGGTTGTCCTGGTGTCTGGTTGTCCTGGTGTCTGGTTGTCCTGGTGTCTGGTTGTCCAGGTGTCTGGTTGTCGTGGTGTCAGGTTGTCCTGGTGTCTGGTTGTCCTGGTGTCTGGTTGTCCTGGTGTCTGGTTGTCCTTGTTGTCCTAGTGTCTGTCCTAGTGTCTGGTTGTCCTAGTGTCTGGTTGTCCTTGTTGTCCTAGTGTCTGATTGTCCTAGTGTCTGATTGTCCTAGTGTCTGGTTGTCCTAGTGTCTGGTTGTCCTAGTGTCTGGTTGTCCTGGTGTCTGGTTGTCCTAGTGTCTGGTTGTCCTAGTGTCTGATTGTCCTGGTGTCTGGTTGTCCTGGTGTCTGGTTGTCCTAGTGTCTGGTTGTCCTGGTGTCTGGTTGTCCTAGTGTCTGGTTGTCCTGGTGTCTGGTTGTCCTAGTGTCTGGTTGTCCTAGTGTCTGGTTGTCCTGGTGTCTGGTTGTCCTGGTGTCTGGTTGTCCTGGTGTCTGGTTGTCCTGGTGTCTGGTTGTCCTGGTATCTGGTTGTCCTGGTGTCAGGTTGTCCTGGTGTCTGGTTGTCCTGGTGTCTGGTTGTCCTGGTGTCTGGTTGTCCTGGTATCTGGTTGTCCTGGTGTCAGGTTGTCTTGGTATCTGGTTGTCCTGGTGTCTGGTTGTCCTGGTGTCAGGTTGTCTTGGTATCTGGTTGTCCTGGTGTCTGGTTGTCCTGGTGTCTGGTCGTTCTAGTGTCTGGTTGTCCTGGTGTCTGGTTGTCCTAGTGTCTGGTTGTCCTGGTGTCTGGTTGTCCTAGTGTCTGGTTGTCCTGGTGTCTGGTTGTCCTGGTGTCTGGTTGTCCTGGTGTCTGGTTGTCCTGGTATCTGGTTGTCCTGGTGTCAGGTTGTCCTGGTGTCAGGTTGTCCTGGTGTCTGGTTGTCCTGGTGTCTGGTTGTCCTGGTGTCTGGTTGTCCTGGTGTCAGGTTGTCTTGGTATCTGGTTGTCCTGGTGTCTGGTTGTCCTGGTGTCTGGTTGTCATGGTGTCAGGTTGTCCTGGTGTCTGGTTGTCCTGGTGTCTGGTTGTCCTGGTGTCTGGTTGTCCTGGTGTCCCTGGTGTCTGGTTGTCCTGGTGTCTGGTTGTCCTGGTGTCTGGTTGGTCCTGGTGTCTGGTTGTCCTGGTATCTGGTTCTGTCCTGGTGTCAGGTTGTCTTGGTATCTGGTTGTCCTGGTGTCTGGTTGTCCTGGTGTCTGGTTGTCCTGGTGTCAGGTTGTCTTGGTATCTGGTTGTCCTGGTGTCTGGTTGTCCTGGTGTCTGGTTGTTCTAGTGTCTGGTTGTCCTGGTGTCTGGTTGTCCTGGTGTCTGGTTGTCCTGGTGTCTGGTTGTCCTGGTGTCTGGTTGTCCTGGTGTCTGGTTGTCCTGGTGTCTGGTTGTCCTGGTGTCAGGTTGTCCTGGTGTCTGGTTGTCCTGGTGTCTGGTTGTCCTGGTGTCTGGTTGTCCTGGTGTCAGGTTGTCCTGGTGTCTGGTTGTCCTGGTGTCTGGTTGTCCTGGTGTCAGGTTGTCCTGGTGTGTCAGGTTGTCCTGGTGTCAGGTTGTCCTGGTGTCTGGTTGTCCTGGTGTCTGGTTGTCCTGGTGTCTGGTTGTCCTGGTGTCAGGTTGTCTTGGTATCTGGTTGTCCTGGTGTCTGGTTGTCCTGGTGTCTGGTTGTCCTGGTGTCAGGTTGTCCTGGTGTCTGGTTGTCCTGGTGTCTGGTTGTCCTGGTGTCAGGTTGTCCTGGTGTCAGGTTGTCCTGGTGTCAGGTTGTCCTGGTGTCTGGTTGTCCTGGTGTCTGGTTGTCCTGGTATCTGGTTGTCCTGGTGTCAGGTTGTCCTGGTGTCAGGTTGTCCTGGTGTCAGGTTGTCCTGGTGTCAGGTTGTCCTGGTGTCTGGTTGTCCTGGTGTCTGGTTGTCCTGGTGTCTGGTTGTCCTGGTGTCAGGTTGTCCTGGTGTCTGGTTGTCCTGGTGTCTGGTTGTCCTGGTGTCTGGTTGTCCTGGTGTCAGGTTGTCTTGGTATCTGGTTGTCCTGGTGTCTGGTTGTCCTGGTGTCTGGTTGTCCTGGTGTCTGGTTGTCCTGGTGTCTGGTTGTCCTGGTGTCTGGTTGTCCTGGTGTCAGGTTGTCCTGGTGTCTGGTTGTCCTGGTGTCTGGTTGTCTTGGGGTTCTGGTTGTCCTGGTGTCTGGTTGTCCAAGTGTCTGGTTGTCCTGGTGTCTAGTTGTCCTGGATAACAGGTAATTCCAGCTTATCAGATAGGGTCTCTTGTACTATTTATTTTGTAGGTCTAGTACTGTAATATATGTTGTATAATACACATATTTACTCTATTATGTCATAAATTCAACCCATCCTCCGAATTGACAGTACGATTTAATACTAAGTGTAATAAGTACACTTTCTTACTGTCATAAACAGTGCATAATTGCACTTATGGGGCTGTTACATTACCCAACCCCCTCCCGCGATTTAATTCTCCTCGTTTTCTGTTAAGACTCTTAGAATTTTAGGATGAAGTTTTCAATTTCAATTTGCTATACACAAGTTTTAAATATCACGAATTTCTTTTTCAGGGTTATTAAACAATATAGATTTTATACAAAATTTTAAAATATCCTGAGTTACTTTACAATTTATTGATATATTTTAGTTTTGTTTTATTAGTTTTATAAAACTGTAATATCAATATAGCTATAGGTTAAGTACTAATTGTAATTAAGAAGCAATAAAATTATTATCTTCAAAAACTAAGACGGTTAGGTGAGGTTGTGGTTTTCTATTCAGTTTTTCAGGTAAACTCAAATATTCACAATATATTTGACTACGATTTAATACTAAGTGAAAATAAGTACAATTCCTAACTACTATGAATAGTACATAATTGCACCTATTTGTCTTCTTCCCTGGAAACACCAACCGAAACTGTCTCTATTTTCCGCTTGATACAACTAGTAATAAAGTTGTTACATCTTGGCTTAACGTGTTTATGACGTATTAGAACGTTGTTACAACTTGCTATATTAGTTGTTTTAACTGGTTAGAAGGTGTTAAAACGTGTTCAAACGTTGTACCAACGTCGTAGTTTCGGTGTGTGTTTGGTGGGTTACATTTATCACCCCATTTTTGGAGGACGGGCTGCATAAATTGTATATTTTAGTCCTGGGATTGCTTATTTAGGGCAGGGACTTGGGAGATTCTTGAGTTACTGTTCTCTTTAGTGTCCCATTCGGGATAATCCATTAGTAGAAAACGGGAACTTTCGGGGGCCCAACTGTCCTTTTTTGTTCCTTCGGCCAAATATTGGATGTAATATAATTTTTTAAAGATGGGCTGGGATATTATACAAATTATTCTGACACGTTTTGAAATATTGATGAATAAATTAATGAATAAATTGGTGAATAAATTATTGAATAAATATATATAAAAGATAAACATCTTTTAGCAAAGTGTATTTAGTACTTACATAACTATTTACTAGAACGTCGATATTGACGCGACGAAAAATTAAAACTTGTTTTTATTTATTTTTTACTGCATCAAAGGATAAGAATAAGGTAAGTCTCAACGAGCAGGTGTAGGAAGCAGGTGTAGGGAGCAGGTGTAGGGAGCAGGTGTAGGGAGCAGGTGTAGGAAGCAGGTGTAGGGAGCAGGTGTAGGGAGCAGGTGTAGGAAGCAGGTGTAGGGAGCAGGTGTAGGGAGCAGGTGTAGGGAGCAGGTGTAGGAAACAGGTGTAGGGAGCAGGAGACCAGATACAAGGTATCACTTGGGAGATGAAATACTTCAAGAGTCAGAGAGAGAGAAAGACCTGGGGGTTGATATCACGCCAGACCTGTCCCCTGAAGCTCATATCAAGAGGATAACATCAGCAGCATATGCCAGGTTGGCTAACATAAGAACGGCCTTTAGAAACTTGTGTAAGGAATCTTTCAGAACATTATATACCACATATGTCAGACCAATCCTGGAGTATGCAGCTCCAGCATGGAGTCCATCTCTAGTCAAGCATAAGACTAAACTGGAAAAAGTTGAAAGGTTTGCCACCAGACTAGTACCCGAGCTGAGAGGTATGAGCTACGAGGAGAGACTACGGGAATTAAACCTCACTTCGCTGGAAGACAGAAGAGTTAGGGGGGACATGATCACCACATTCAAGATTCTCAGGGGAATTGATAGGGTAGATAAAGACAGGCTATTTAGCTCAATAGGCACACGCACAAGGGGACACAGACGGAAATTGAGTGCCCAAATGAGCCACAGAGATATTAGAAAGAACTTTTTTAGTGTCAGAGTGGTTGACAAATGGAATGCATTAGGCATTGATGTGGTGGAGGCTGACTCCATACACAGTTACAAGTGTAGATATGATAGAGCCCAGTAGGCTCAGGAACCTGTACACCAGTTGATTGACAGTTGAGAGGCGGGACCAAAGAGCCAGAGCTCAACCCCCGCAAGCACAACTAGGTGAGTACACCCACACTCCCACACCCACACTCCCACACCCCCACCCCCCTACCCCCGTACCCCACACCCCCACACCCACACCCACTCCCATACACCCACACTCCCACACACCCACACACCCACACTCCCCCACTCCCACACTCCCACACTCCCCCACCCCCACACTCCCCCACCCCCCACACTCCCCCACCCCCACACTCCCCCACCCCCCCACACCCCACCACCCCCACACCCCCACACCCCCACACTCCCCCCCCCCCCACACTCCCCCACTCCCCCACCCCCACACTCCCACACCCCCACACTCCCTCACCCCCACACTCCCCCTCCCCCACACACCCCCCCCCCACACACCCCCCCACACTCCCCCTCCCCCACCCCCACACTCCCCCTCCCCCACACTCCCCCACCCCCACACTCCCCCACCCCCACACACCCCCACCCCCCACACTCCCCCACCCCCACACTCCCCCACCCCCACACTCCCCCACCCCCCCACACTCCCCCTCCCCCACACACCCCCACCCCCACACTCCCCCACCCCCACACTCCCCCTCCCCCACACACCCCCACCCCCACACTCCCCCACCCCCACACTCCCACACCCCCCACACTCCCCCCCACCCCCACACTCCCCCTCCCCCACACACCCCCACCCCCACACTCCCCCACCCCCACACTCCCCCTCCCCCACACACCCACACCCCCACACTCCCCCTCCCCCACACACCCCCACCCCCACACTCCCCCACCCCCACACTCCCCCACCCCCCACACACCCACACCCCCACACTCCCCCACCCCCACACTCCCCCACCCCCACACTCCCCCACCCCACACTCCCCCACCCCCACACTCCCCCACCCCCACACTCCCCCACCCCCACACCCCCACACTCCCCCACCCCCACACTCCCCCACCCCCACACTCCCCCACCCCCACACTCCCCCACCCCCACACCCCCACACACTCCCACACCCCCACACTCCCCCACACTCCCCCACACCCCCACACTCCCCCACCCCCACACTCCCCCACCCCCACACACTAACCAAACTGGTCACAGGGAAGCATTATGTCGCCTCACTTTTTGACCAAAGTATTTTTGGCCCGCGCGTGTGTGTGTGTGTGTGAGGACACAATAGGCTGGCGGAACTGCCCACTGTTTCATTTTAATGAGCAACTTGTTGGGGCCAGATTTTATCTCCCGTTTGTTCAAATATATAATAATAATAATAATAATAATAATTAGGGATGCAACACCTGAGTGAAGTATAGATAATCGCTGTGTACGAACACTGTGTTACAACGGGTGGGCCAGCAAAGTGTACAACCGGTGGGACACTTGAAACACCTCGTACATGGCTAGCAACAGTAAGTGGAACCACCTGTACTGTTAACTGTGACCCACAACTGTGCAGCAAAGGTGCCGCTCCAGCTCTCGGCAACGACACTAAAGATAAGGTAGTTAATAACAGTCATTGCGTTGTTTCGTACCGCTATGGCGTGTTGACGGGGTCATCCCAGAGTGTATTGAAGGGGTGTATTGACCACAGAGGTGCGGGCAGCCACAGTGTCGGTCATTCAAGGCATCAGGAGCCTCACATGACAGTCGAGTTGATCAAGACATAAGACGTCGCAGACTGGGAGTCTTCCTGTCATCGGCGCCCAGTTCAAAAACATTATAGAGTTGACAGCAGAGGGCACGAGGCGCCTCTCTGACACTGGTTCGTGTCCCGACCAATCAGGAGAGAGAGCATTAGCCTGTGAGGGGTCTCTATGGCAGTTCGTCGGCCCCTCTGATGGCAGGATCGGCTCGACGTGGCTTCCACAAGAGCCAGTCAAAGAGGAAGCCTCGTCTTCCACGGGAGCCGGTCGGCCGAGCGGACAGCACGCTGGATTTGTGATCCTGTGGTCCTGGGTTCGATCCCAGGCGCCGGCGAGAAACAATGGGCAGAGTTTCTTTCACCCTATGGCCCTGTTACCTAGCAGTAAAATAGGTACCTGGGTGTTAGCTGTCACGGGCTGCTTCCTGGGGGTGGAGGCCTGGTCGAGGACCGAGCCGCGGGGACACTAAAAAGCCCCGAAATCATCTCAAGATAACCTCAAGATAACCTCCCAAAATAACAGCGAGGGAACACAGCATCCTTCACTCCCTCATAACACCGGTCACTCCCTCACAGCGGCCAATGATGCCACTCAACTCCGGTCTTTGGACAAAATTGGCGGCCAATTGGTCCAGATGGGACCACGAGGCTTCCTCATTACCAGCCAGCGCCTCGAACTATGGCCCGACGTCCAGCAGGATCCAGATATTACTTCCTCTCTCTCCCTTTGAGTCACTTGTTCTTTGATCACATCCTTAGTGTGTCTGATGCCTCTGGCCTCATATTTATTCCTGCTCTCCTCACAGCATCCAGAACACATAGTGACCGCCGGCTACACAGAACACATAGTGACCCCCGGCTACACATAACACATAGTGACCGCCGGCTACACAGAACACATAGTGACCCCCGGCTACACAAAACACATAGTGACCACCGGCTACACAAAACACATAGTGACCACCGGCTACACAGAACACATAGTGACCACCGGCTACACATAACACATAGTGATCCCCGGCTACACAGAACACATAGTGATCCCCGGCTACACAGAACACATAGTGACCACCGGCTACACATAACACATAGTGACCCCCGGCTACACAAAACACATAGTGACCACCAGCTACACAAAACACATAGTGACCCCCGGCTACACAGAACACATAGTGACCGCCGGCTACACAAAACACATAGTGACCCCCGGCTACACAGAACACATAGTGACCACCAGCTACACAAAACACATATTATCCCACATACTTGTTAAACCAACTCAAGGAGACTCAATATCCAGAAAGAACAGAAGACAATGGATAAGTGCTGGTTAGCATTGTAATTGTCTGGCCAGGTCTGTGGTAGGACATGATGGGTGTTAATACCCCGTATTCTGGACGTTGAGGCCAGACAAGAAACTACCTGATCTGATAAGTGACTGACACGCTACAAGTGCCACTTTGAGTGCCAAGATATATGAGAAGTGCCTCGTATTATGGGTTTGTGTATATATGTTGTGGTGACTCGCATACAACGGCGTGTATATTGTATTCTCCAAATACAATTGTGTGTCCCGATTCCCTGGTATTGTGTATATATTGACTTTCATATATATGCAATTGCTACTTGTTGGCTTGCTAAAAACACGTTCTAAATTTGCATACATATTCTCTGTTTTTAATGTAATGTGATTATATATATATATATATATATATATATATATATATATATATATATATATATATATATGTATAATATATATATATATATATATATATATATATATATATATATGTATAATATATATATATATATGTATAATATATATATATATATATATATATATATATGAGAGAGAGAGATTATACCTACAAGAGGTATAAAAGGTTGAATTTCTTTGAAATATGCATGTCTATGTAGATTGAATATATATATATATATATATATATATATATATATATATATATATATATATATATATATATATATATTAACAAAAATTCAATTTACATATATTAACAGCACTGCGTGAATCTGATTGGAGTTGAATCGCTTTGAAGAGATTGGATCTCTTTGATATCAGGCAATCTTGCCTCAACGTGAAGGGCTTTTCTCAGGGGCTCTGGCTCACTGATGATACTAACTTTATGTGGGGTGTTATCTCTATCTCTGGAGAGCTCTGCTATCTTGTATCTCTGGAGAGCTCTGCTATCTTGTATCTCTGGAGAACTATGCTATCTTGTATCTCTGGAGAGCTGTGCTATCTTGTATCTCTGGAGAGCTCTGCTATCTTGTATCTCTGGAGAGCTCTGCTATCTTGTATCTCTGGAGAGCTGTGCTATCTTGTATCTCTGGAGAGCTCTGCTATCTTGTATCTCTGGAGAGCTATGCTATCATGTATCTCTGGAGAGCTATGATATCTTTTATCTCTGGAGAGCTATGCTATCTTGTATCTCTGTAGAGCTATGCTATCTTGTATCTCTGGAGAGCTGTGCTATCTTGTATCTCTGGAGAGCGATGCTATCTTGTATCTCTGGAGAGCTATGCTATCTTGTATCTCTGGAGAGCTATGCTATCTTGTATCTCTGGAGAGCTATGCTATCTTGTATCTCTGGAGAGCGATGCTATCTTGTATCTCTGGAGAGCTATGCTATCTTCCATGGCATATCTATCTTATGAAAGACAGAATATCTAAATGTCTGTGTAGGTTGAATGTCTGTGAAGGTTGAATGTCTGTGAAGGATGAATGTCTGTGAAGGATGAATGTCTGTGAAGGATGAATGTCTGTGAAGGTTGAATGTCTGTGAAGGCTGAATGTCTGTGTAGGATGAATGTCTGTGTAGGATGAATGTCTGTGTAGGATGAATGTCTGTGTAGGATGAATGTCTGTGAAGGTTGAATGTCTGTGAAGGTTGAATGTCTGTGTAGGATGAATGTCTGTGTAGGATGAATGTCTGTGTAGGATGAATGTCTGTGTAGGATGAATGTCTGTGAAGGCTGAATGTCTGTGATAACACCATCGTGGTGATAGCCACAAGATAACACCATCCCGGTGATAAATCCATGTCATTTTTGTCTTAAATGATAACACTGCCCCAGTGAGAACGATAACTAATACGGTCATCTTGTTATCTCTCCCCTACAGTACGACACCATCAACAAATTCTGCAACCGCACGCAGGCTTTCTGTCCCGCTGGCCCGGCTGGACCGATGGGACCAGTTGGGAAGCATGGACAGGCTGGCAGGGACGGGGAGCGGGGGGACAGGGGTCTGCCAGGCCAGACTGGACCCCAGGGACCCCCAGGACTACCTGGGATAACAGGACCCCCAGGGATGAGAGGTCCCAAGGGGGAGATTGGCTTACCAGGTGAGTAGTGAGAGAGAGAGAGAGAGAGATGTCTCTCTGTCACACACCAGTCCCTCACTGTCACACACACCAGTCCCTCACTGTAACACACACCAGTCCCTCACTGTCACACACACCAGTCCCTCACTGTCACACACACCAGTCCCTCACTGTCACACACACCAGTCCACCACTGTCACACACACCAGTCCACCACTGTCACACACACCAGTCCACCACTGTCACACACACCAGTCCCCCACTGTCACACACACCAGTCCCTCACTGTCACACACCAGTCCACCACTGTCACACACACCAGTCCCTCACTGTCACACACACCAGTCCCTCACTGTCACACACACCAGTCCCTCACTGTCTCACTCACCAGTCCCTCACTGTCACACACACCAGTCCCTCACTGTCACACACACCAGTCCCTCACTGTCACTGTCACACACACCAGTCCCCCACTGTCACACCAGTCCCTCACTGTCACACCAGTCCCTCACTGTCACACACACCAGTCCCTCACTGTCACACACACCAGTCCCTCACTGTCACACACACCAGTCCCTCACTGTCACACACACCAGTCCCTCACTGTCACACACACCAGTCCCTCACTGTCACACACACCAGTCCCTCACTGTCACACACACCAGTCCCTCACTGTCACACACACCAGTCCCTCACTGTCACACACACCAGTCCCTCACTGTCACACACCAGTCCCCCACTGTCACACACACCAGTCCCTCACTGTCACACACACCAGTCCCTCACTGTCACACACACCAGTCCCTCACTGTCACACACACCAGTCCCTCACTGTCACACACACCAGTCCCTCACTGTCACACACCAGTCCACCACTGTCACACACACCAGTCCCCCACTGTCACACACACCAGTCCCTCACTGTCACACACACCAGTCCCTCACTGTCACACACCTGTCCCTCCTCTCCCACCAGGTGTGCCAGGACTTGATGGACGGGATGGTCTGCCAGGTGAGCCCGGCCTTGACGGTATTCCTGGACGTAATGGACTTGACGGCATCCCAGGAGTGGACGGCATTCCAGGGTTTGACGGGATGCCCGGACGGGATGGTGTTAACGGGACAGACGGTAAGTTGTGAGTGGGATGGACGGAAGGAATGGAACAGTACATTAAGGAATGGAAGGAATACTGAGAATAGGTCATTTAAGAACTTGAGGAATGTTTGGGATAGGGAATAGGGAAATGGGAGGAATACTAAGAATGGGGAATTAAGTAATGGGCTTGGGTATGTAATGGGCATTGGACAGGAAATGGAATAACTCGAAATTGGAACCTTTTCTTGACTGATAATTGAGAAATTGGAATGAAAATTTGTTGAATATACAGGAGAATAGTGATTAGTTATGCATTGAATAAATGATATATAAAATGAAATGGAGCTGTCTTCTTATGGGCCAATAGGAGCTACTTTCTGTTGGTCTAATAGGAGCTGCCTCGTATGGAACAATAGCAGCTGCCTTCTTATGGACCAATAGGAGCTGTCTCGTATGGACCAATAGGAGCTGCCTCGTATGGAACAATAGCAGCTGCCTTCTTATGGACCAATAGAAGCTGTCTCGTATGGACCAATAGGAGCTGCCTCGTATGGAACAATAGCAGCTGCCTTCTTATGGACCAATAGCAGCTGCCTTCTTATGGACCAACAGCAGCTGCCTTCTTATGGACCAATAGGAGCTGTCTCGTATGGACCAATAGGAGCTGCCTCGTATGGACCAATAGCAGCTGCCTTCTTATGGACCAATAGGAGCTGCCTCGTATGGACCAATAGGAGCTGCCTCGTATGGAACAATAGGAGCTGCCTCGTATGGAACAATAGCAGCTGCCTTCTTATGGACCAATAGGAGCTGTCTCGTATGGACCAATAGGAGCTGCCTCGTATGGACCAATAGCAGCTGCCTTCTTATGGACCAATAGGAGCTGCCTCGTATGGACCAATAGGAGCTGCCTCGTATGGACCAATAGGAGCTGCCTCGTATGGAACAATAGCAGCTGCCTTCTTATGGACCAATAGGAGCTGTCTCGTATGGACCAATAGGAGCTGCCTCGTATGGACCAATAGGAGCTGCCTCGTATGGAACAATAGCAGCTGCCTTCTTATGGACCAATAGCAGCTGCCTTCTTATGGACCAATAGGAGCTGTCTCGTATGGACCAATAGGAGCTGTCTCGTATGGACCAATAGGAGCTGTCTCGTATGGACCAATAGGAGCTGTCTCGTATGGACCAATAGGAGCTGCCTCGTATGGACCAATAGGAGCTGTCTCGTATGGACCAATAGGAGCTGTCTCGTATGGACCAATAGGAGCTGCCTCGTATGGACCAATAGGAGCTGTCTCGTATGGACCAATAGGAGCTGTCTCGTATGGACCAATAGGAGCTGTCTCGTATGGACCAATAGGAGCTGCCTCGTATGGACCAATAGGAGCTGCCTCGTATGGAACAATAGCAGCTGCCTTCTTATGGACCAATAGGAGCTGTCTCGTATGGACCAATAGGAGCTGCCTCGTATGGAACAATAGCAGCTGCCTTCTTATGGACCAATAGGAGCTGTCTCGTATGGACCAATAGGAGCTGCCTCGTATGGAACAATAGCAGCTGCCTTCTTATGGACCAATAGGAGCTGTCTCGTATGGACCAATAGGAGCTGCCTCGTATGGAACAATAGCAGCTGCCTTCTTATGGACCAATAGGAGCTGTCTCGTATGGACCAATAGGAGCTGCCTCGTATGGAACAATAGCAGCTGCCTTCTTATGGACCAATAGGAGCTGTCTCGTATGGACCAATAGGAGCTGCCTCGTATGGAACAATAGCAGCTGCCTTCTTATGGACCAATAGGAGCTGTCTCGTATGGACCAATAGGAGCTGCCTCGTATGGACCAATAGGAGCTGCCTCGTATGGAACAATAGCAGCTGCCTTCTTATGGACCAATAGGAGCTGTCTCGTATGGACCAATAGGAGCTGCCTCGTATGGGCCAATAGGAGCTGCCTCGTATGGACCAATAGCAGCTGTCTCATATGGGCCAATAGGAGCTGCCTCGTATGGAACAATAGCAGCTGTCTCATATGGGCCAATAGGAGCTGCCTCGTATGGAACAATAGCAGCTGTCTCATATGGGCCAATAGGAGCTGCCTCGTATGGACCAATAGGCGCTGCCTCGTATGGACCAATAGCAGCTGTCTCATATGGGCCAATAGGAGCTGCCTCGTATGGACCAATAGCAGCTGTCTCATATGGGCCAATAGGAGCTGCCTCGTATGGAACAATAGCAGCTGTCTCATATGGGCCAATAGGAGCTGCCTCGTATGGACCAATAGGCGCTGCCTCGTATGGACCAATAGGAGCTGCCTCGTCAGCGCCATCTGTGAGTCGGCTCTCTAAACCCTCATGGGATCAGACGTAATGCGGACAATGCCATCTGGTGGTGGCTGTCTCATACCTGCAAATGGCTCAAGATTCCTGCCTTGGTCAGCCAGAGGGGTCGGTGTTAGTGACCTCTGGTGAGGTGAAGACCAGCGCCACCTAGTGTGTGCTACAGAGCACAATGTCAACTCCCAAGTGAGTTAGTGGTATTGCCTAGTTTCACCAGTACCGGCAAGGTCTTTGTTGACGTTTTTGTGTCCACAGAGGTGACGTCTGGGGGCAGCGGTACTAGAGACGGCTGTTCATCTTGGGCAGTCCACAGTCTCCCTACATGGTCCTGGAAAAGCGACCAAGTAAGCCGCCGCCGATGAAGCAGTGTGGTAGCTGCTAGTGCTTTAGTGTTGAAAGACATTGGCGTGCCTCCGGGACTGGCTTAGGGGAGAGACTGACGACAGGGAGGTGCCTGTTGAGTAGTGCTGCTAGCTGGTCGCTAGAGACTGCTGCCAGGGGGTCGCTTCCCCGGTATTGTGACCCCGCTCAGCGTGTGGCTGAGGTACTCTGCCCAGCTAGCAGCTGGAGAGCGGTCGTGGGGGTTGAGGCACCTCATGACACTGTCGGTGGGATGGCCCACGTACAGGGTGAACTCGCCAGTGTTTCCCAGTAAGGTTGGATAAGCTACTGGGCGGTGGAGAGACACGGGGTTTTGACGAACTCTGCACGTGAGCACGTTTAATATCCTCAGTGAAAGGATATCCTTGTATATAGGTGTATAAATAGCCTATCTGTTCTTGTACATACGTCCAGAAACGTACATACGTCTAGAAACGTACATACGTCCAGAAACGTGTATACGTCCAGAAACTTGCATACGTCCAGAAACTTGCATACGTCCAGACACTTGCATACGTTCAGAAACTTGCATAAGTCCAGAAAGTCCATACGTCCAGAAACGTACATACGTCTAGAAACGTACATACGTCCAGAAACGTATATACGTCCAGAAACTTGCATACGTCCAGACACTTGCATACGTCCAGACACTTGCATACGTCCAGACACTTGCATACGTTCAGAAACTTGCATAAGTCCAGAAAGTCCATACGTCCAGAAACGTCCATACGTCCAGCGACGTACGAACCCAAGCAACTAACCAGACTTATCGAGGCCAGTGTATAGAAAACGTCAGTATTGCGGTGCTTTACGTTTTAATAATACGTCGCATTTCTAACGGATTGGTCGATTGCGTTACAAATGTGACGTATTAGATGATCGGACGGATTAGGAGGGTGAATGGTTGTTAATGGTTGTCAACGGTTGTTAGTGGTTGCTAATGGATGTTAATAGTTGTTAATGGATGTCAGTGGTTGTTAATGGTTGTCAAAGGTTGTTAATAGATGAAAGTGATTGTTTATGGATGTTAACGGTTGTTAGGGGTTGCTAATGATGTCAACGGCTGTTATTGGTTGTCAATGGTTGTTAATGCACTGTTAAGGGATGTCAGTTGTTGTTAATGGATGTCAACGGTTGTTAATGGTTGTTAATGGATGTTAACGGTTGTTAATGGTTGTTAATGGATGTCAGTGGTTGTTAATGGTTGTTAATGGATGTCAACGGCTGTTAATGGTTGTTGATGGATGTCAACGGTTGTTAATGGTTGTTGATGGATGTCAACGGTTGTTAATGGCTGTTAATGGATGTCAGTGGTTGTTAATGGTTGTTAATGGTGGTGACTACTCCCTCAGGTTCAGCTGGACAAAAGGGCGAGGAGGGTCCACAAGGTCTTCAAGGCTTGAGAGGTAAGTCTACCCATCTACCCGGCTCTTATAGCTCCTCTACTCATCTACCCGGCTCTCATAGCTGGTCTACCCATCTACCCGGCTCTCATAGATGCTCTACCCATCTACCCGGCTCTCATAGATGCTCTACCCATCTACCCGGCTCTCATAGATGCTCTACCCATCTACCCGGCTCTCATAGATGCTCTACCCATCTACCCGGTTCTCTTAGCTGATCTACCCATCTACCCGGTTCTCTTAGCTGATCTACCCATCTACCCGCCTCACATAGCTGCTCTACCCATCTACCCGGCTCTTGTAGCTGCTCTACCCATCTACCCGGCTCTTGTAGCTGCTCTACCCATCTACCCGGCTCTTGTAGCTGCTCTACCCATCTACCCGGCTCTTATAGCTGGTCTACCCATCTACCCGGCTCTCATAGCTGGTCTACCCATCTACCCGGCTCTCATAGCTGCTCTACCCATCTACCCGGCTCTTGTAGCTGGTCTACCCCTCTACCCGGCTCTTATGGCTGTTCTACCCATCTACCCGGCTCTCATAGCTCCTCTACTCATCTACCCGGCTCTTATAGCTGGTCTACCCCTCTACCCGGCTCCTATAGCTGGTCTACCCATCTACCCGGCTGTCATGGCTGTTCTACCCATCTACCCGGCTCTTATAGCTGGTCTACCCATCTACCCGGCTGTCATGGCTGTTCTACCCATCTACCCGGCTCTTATAGCTGGTCTACCCATCTACCCGGCTGTCATGGCTGTTCTACCAATCTACCAGGCTCTTATAGCTGCTCTACTCATCTACCCGGCTCTTATAGCTGCTCTACTTATCTACCCGGCTCTCATAGCTACTCTACCTATCTCTCATAGCTACTCAACCCGGCTCACATAGCTGTTCTACCCATCTACCCGGCTCTCATAGTTGCTCAACCCATCTACCCGGTTCACAAGCTACCCATCTACCCGGCTCTCAGAGCTGCTCTACCCATCTACCCGGTTCACAAGCTACCCATCTACCCGGCTCTCAGAGCTGCTCTACCCATCTACCCGGTTCACAAGCTACCCATCTACCCGGCTCTCAGAGCTGCTCTACCCATCTACCCGGCTCACATAGCTGCTCTACCCATCTACCCGGCTCTCAGAGCTGCTCTACCCATCTACCCAGTTCACAAGCTACCCATCTACCCGGCTCTCAGAGCTGCTCTACCCATCTACCCGGCTTACAAGCTACCCATCTACCCGGCTCTCAGAGCTGCTCTACCCATGTACCCGGCTCACATAGCTGCTCTACCCATCTACCCGGTTCACAAGCTACCCATCTACCCGGCTCTCAGAACTGCTCTACCCATCTACCCGGCTCTCAGAGCTGCTCTACCCATGTACCCGGCTCACATAGCTACTCTACCCATCTACCCGGCTCACAAGCTACCCATCTACCCGGCTCTCATAGCTGCTCTACCCATCTACCTGGCTCTCATAGCTGCTCTACCCATCTACCCGGCTCACAAGCTACCCATCTACCCGGCTCACAAGCTACCCATCTACCCGGCTCTCAGATCACCCAGCCACACACACACACACAAACACACACACACCTGGTGCTAGTGGAAGGTACCAACGGGGTCACCATAGCAACAGGTGACAGCTTTACCGTAGCCTCAACAACAGTCAGCTTGATTGGACCGTTGAACCGTTCAACGGCGGGTCGAGATAATTAAGTCAAGATAATTGTTTATTTCCATTCGTTTACTGACAAATTTCCAGCTAAAACACACACCCCCCCCCAATCCTTTTTAACAAGTAATTTGATGATCTGGTTAGGTATATATTGATATATCGCAATTATATAAATATATATATAGGAAGTAGCTAAAAAAACTGAATTTTATGGATTAATAACTCATAATCTGTGAACCATTGATAGCCTTTACGACACGAGTTTAAATGTTCAGTTTTTGTACACTCTATATATATATATATATATATATATATATATATATATATATATATATATATATATATATATATATATATATATATATATGAGTGAAGATGTATTTAATATACGATTCCTTCTGAATAGATTAGATAATAGATTCCTTCTGAAGATGTATTTAATATACGAAAGTACTTAAGGAAATTCCTGTTTCATTTTCCTCCGTGGTCTGACATTGTCATATATATATATATATATATATATATATATATATATATATATATATATATATATATATAATATAATATATACTCTTTGCATTCATGTATAGTTATTGGGTTTGGATAGGAGTTTGGAGTGGTGTTATGTAATATTATGGATCATATGAGCTGTTGTGTGTGGTGTCCTGCAGGCATGGCCGGCCCGCGCGGCCGTAAGGGCAAGAACGGTACCCCAGGTGCGGCTGGCATACCTGGTATTAACACCTGGAAGGTCAACGGTACAGCTACCAAGAAGCTCCTCATACCACCAGCCATACCAGGTGAGAGAGAGAGAGAGAGAGAGAGAGAGAGAGAGAGAGAGAGAGAGAGAGAGAGAGAGAGAGAGTGTGAGGGTGAGTTTAGGAGACACAGATGACGGTAGTGACAGACAGAGCTATAGCATGACAGACAGACGGGCACAGCCACACAGAGAAAGACAGAGACACCCCTATGGTAGTGTGACAGACTGTAGAGAGAGACACCAAGAGACACAGACAGAGGCAGCTAAGAGTATAGGTCACAGTCCTCCCCGCACTAACTCTTGGTGATGGATATCATCCGCAGGCTCTACCCGCATGCGGCCGCGTCGCCGCAAGCCCTACATCGTAAAAGAGGGTGAAAACATACGGCTGTGGTGCAAAGCTGCGGGAGAGCCAGTGCCGCAGGTGGAGTGGAGCAAGGACGACGGCAGTGCCATCCCCACCGGCCAGTGGAAAGGTAAGATGGCTAGGCTAGCCCGCAGGGGGACTACGATGTGCAAGGATAGGCAGTCCAGTGGATATGTTCTGGAATGTCAACATGTAAGTGAATATAGTTTTCCTTTAAGAAGTGTCGGACCAACCAGGTTGTGGTGGGTATGTGGGCCTGCGGGGCGCTCCAAGCAACAGCCTGGTGGACCAAACTCTCACAGGTCAAGCCTGGCCTCGGGCCGGGCTTGGGGAGTAGAACAACTCCCAGAACCCCATCAACCAGGTATATGTGGGCCTGCGGGCCGCTCCAAGCAACAGCCTGGTGGACCAAACTCTCACAAGTCAAGCCTGGCCTCGGGCAGGGCTTGGGGAGTAGAAGAACTCCCAGAACCCCATCAACCAGGTATTAAGCATCTGTAATGGTCCATACCAGGATACATAATTACATCTAATAGTTATACGCATATCATGGTAATACTCCAAAATAAATACAGTTGCTCAATAAATGTTTCACCAGATACGTTTGGTTAAATATTGTATATATCGCCCTTAAAACAGGAAGAGTAACTATACCCCGCCCTGAGGGTGGATCGCAGGAGTGTCCAGACGCTGTCGCCACAGTAAACACTCCTCCATACCCCGCCCTGAGGGTGGATCGCAGGAGTGTCCAGACGCTGTCGCCACAGTAAACACTCCTCCATACCCCGCCCTGAGGGTGGATCGCAGGAGTGTCCAGACGCTGTCGCCACAGTAAACACTCCTCCATACCCCGCCCTGAGGGTGGATGGCAGGAGTGTCCAGACGCTGTCGCCACAGTAAACACTCCTCCATACCCGCCCTGAGGGTGGATCGCAGGAGTGTCCAGACGCTGTCGCCACAGTAAACACTCCTCCATACCCCGCCCTGAGGGTGGATGGCAGGAGTGTCCAGACGCTGTCGCCACAGTAAACACTCCTCCATACCCCGCCCTGAGGGTGGATGGCAGGAGTGTCCAGACGCTGTCGCCACAGTAAACACTCCTCCATACCCCGCCCTGAGGGTGGATCGCAGGAGTGTCCAGACGCTGTCGCCACAGTAAACACTCCTCCATACCCCGCCCTGAGGGTGGATGGCAGGAGTGTCCAGACGCTGTCGCCACAGTAAACACTCCTCCATACCCCGCCCTGAGGGTGGATCGCAGGAGTGTCCAGACGCTGTCGCCACAGTAAACACTCCTCCATACCCCGCCCTGAGGGTGGATGGCAGGAGTGTCCAGACGCTGTCGCCACAGTAAACACTCCTCCATACCCCGCCCTGAGGGTGGATCGCAGGAGTGTCCAGACGCTGTCGCCACAGTAAACACTCCTCCATACCCCGCCCTGAGGGTGGATCGCAGGAGTGTCCAGACGCTGTCGCCACAGTAAACACTCCTCCATACCCCGCCCTGAGGGTGGATCGCAGGAGTGTCCAGACGCTGTCGCCACAGTAAACACTCCTCCATACCCCGCCCTGAGGGTGGATGGCAGGAGTGTCCAGACGCTGTCGCCACAGTAAACACTCCTCCATACCCCGCCCTGAGGGTGGATCGCAGGAGTGTCCAGACGCTGTCGCCACAGTAAACACTCCTCCATACCCCGCCCTGAGGGTGGATGGCAGGAGTGTCCAGACGCTGTCGCCACAGTAAACACTCCTCCATACCCCGCCCTGAGGGTGGATCGCAGGAGTGTCCAGACGCTGTCGCCACAGTAAACACTCCTCCATACCCCGCCCTGAGGGTGGATGGCAGGAGTGTCCAGACGCTGTCGCCACAGTAAACACTCCTCCACCTTAGGGTAAGACACCTCGGGTGTAGGGCACACCGGGGGGCATCTCATCCCTTGGTCGTCGTCGCCCTTAAATCATCACCAACAACAACACCTCAGATGTAGGAGTCCTGGTTCAACCTTGACCACACCAAATAATCACTATTTAACAAAATAATATTTGATATATTGCAATGGTTTATAGATAAAGTAAACATTTGCAATAGATAAATTCATAGTAATATAGAACTATCAGTCTTGTCATTGTATATAATATATATTTGGCAAGATAACAGAATAAAAGGATAGGATAAAATAATTTATAACCATATCAGCGCTATCTTGAGGTTATCTTGAGATGATTTCGGGGCTTTTAGTGTCCCCGCGGCCCGGTCCTCGACCAGGCCTCCACCCCCAGGAAGCAGCCCGTGACAGCTGACTAACACCCAGGTACCTATTTTACTGCTAGGTAACAGGGACATAGGGTGAAAGAAACTCTGCCCATTGTTTCTCGCCGGCGCCTGGGATCGAACCCAGGACCACAAGATCACAAGTCCCGCGTGCTGTCCGCTCGGCCGACCGGCTCCCAAACACGCTGGCTTCATTATTCTTATATTTTTACCCAGAGTTTACCTGGAGAGAGTTTCGAGAGTTCCCAAGCTCTGGCACCAGACCGAGCTTGGGAAGTAGAAGACTTGTGATAACTTGGTCCAACAGGCTGTTGCTTGCAGCGGCTCGCAGCACCACATATCCTCTACAGCCTGCTTGACCCGAGACTTCTTGCAAGAACTTGTCTAATTGTTTCTTGAAGAAGTTCACCTTCGTTCCAGCAATATTTCTTATGCTTGCTGCGAATATATTGAACAGCTGTGTACCTCTGATGTTCAGTGTTCTCTGATTGTGCCTCTGGCACCTCTACTCCTCACTGGTTCTGTTAATTAATGACACTATGTAAAAGACACATCTAACACTTTATGTAGGGCATACGTAAATCTGTGTATCTATGTATTTACGTATGTAGGTTAGCTTAGCATTTTAAAAGCACAGAATCACCTTCTGTGGTTAATTGTTCAATAAACCCTTGAACTATGTGTTTAACACATCTCTAACCCTGTCCATGGAGGACAGAAGAAAATGTATATATGCTGGTTAGCATTGTAAATGTCTGGCCACGTCTGTGGTAGAAAAAAAAAACTGGTTCTGTTCTTTACTTCCTTCCGTATTATTACAGAAGGAAATTATGTATTCATGCTAATTTTTGTATCAACAGCAAAGGATGACACAAAGCTGTGATTAGCATTTTTGATTATATCTAAAATAACAATGAAAAAGGGCAGTAGTGCAAGGACTGTGCCCTGGGGTACAGAGCAGTGGGGCAAGGACTGTGCCCTGGGGTACAGAGCAGTGGTGCAAGGACTGTGTCCTGGGATACAGAGCAGTGGGGCAAGGACTGTGCCCTGGGGTACAGAGCAGTGGTACAAGGACTGTGCCCTGGGGTACAGAGCAGTGGTGCAAGAACTGTGCCCTGGGGTACAGAGCAGTGGTACATGGACTGTGCCCTGGGGTACAGAGCAGTGGGGCAAGGACTGTGCCCTGGGGTACAGAGCAGTGGTGCAAGAACTGTACCCTGGGGTACAGAGCAGTGGTGCAAGAACTATACCCTGGGGTACAGAGCAGTGGTGCAAGGACTGTGCCCTGGGGTACAGAGCAGTGGTGCAAGAACTGTACCCTGGGGTACAGAGTTTTTCACTGCACATGGACTTATTTGATTGTTACTCTTGCATTCTGTCTGACATAAAATTGAGAATCCAAACGCGTAGTTTTCCAATTATTCCCATTACTCGTGTTGTATGGGTTATCGCCCCATGGTCGCCATGGGTTATCGCCATATCATGGGGTTATCGCCCCATGATATCTACCTGTATCAAATACCTTTGCAAAGTCTGTGTAAACACCTGTGTTTTGTATTCCTGTCTATTGCTTCAGTAATTTTGTCATAGGGGCCTCGTAGCCTGGTGGATAGCGCGCAGGACTCGTAATTCTGTGGCGCGGGTTCGATTCCCGCACGAGGCAGAAACAAATGGGCAAAAGTTTCTTTCACCCTGAATGCCCCTGTTACCTAGCAGTAAATAGGTACCTGGGAGTTAGTCAGCTGTCACGGGCTGCTTCCTAGGGGTGGAGGTCTGGTCGAGGACCGGGGCGGGGACACTAAAAAGCCCCGAAATCATCTCAAGATAACCTCAAGATAATGGTTGAGTAACTGTGACAGACAGGAACCTCCCGCTCTGAATCCATGTCGTCCTGGGTTGTGGACTTCACTGTTCTCTATACAACTGGAGATTTGAGTCCTGATCACTCTTTCGTAAACTTTGATTGTGTGTGATGTTAGTGCAGCTGGTGAGTATTGTCATGTCAGTGCTTTACTGCCTCCCTTGTGTTGTGATGGTATCACCTTGAGATATATACAAGAGTTGTTACATTCTTGTAGAGCCACTAGTACGCGTAGCGTTTCGGGCAAGTCCTTAATCCTATGGTCCCTGGAATACGATCCCCTGCCGCGAAGAATCGTTTTTTCATCCAAGTACACATTTTACTGTTGCGTTAAACAGAGGCTACAGTTAAGGAATTGCGCCCAGTAAATCCTCCCCTGCCAGGATACGAACCCATGACATAGCGCTCGCGGAACGCCAGACGAGTGTCTTACCACTACACCACGGAAACTGATGTAAGTCCTTCTGGAATCTTAACTGTATCCAAGCTTTCACTTATTTATTGACCTTTAATCTCAGGAGACGAGACCCGGAGTTGATTGTACGTTGTCAATTTCTCTTTCAAAGTCTGTATATATGAGTTATATTGTTAGGGGGTTTGTTTCGTTCATAAGGATGCTATCTGGATATTCAACTTTCACATTATTTATTGCGGTGCTAACTATAGACTTATACCGATCATTTAGGATTTAACTGGAAGGTAGAGCGACGGTCTCGCGTCATGCAGGTCGGCGTTCAATCCCTGACCGTCCATAAATGGTTGGGGCACCATTCCTTCTCTACCCTGTCCCATCCCAAATCCTTATCCTGACCCCTTCCAAGTGCTATATAGTCGTAATGGTTTAGCGCTTTCTCCTGATAGTTCCTTCTTTTGTCATCCACTGTGTATAAACCATCACTTGGTAGTACAGGTACAGTACTGGTGGAGGTTTCTTTACATTGATTTTGCATTTGTAAACAAAAAAAAAATTGGATTTTTCTTTATCTCTTGTATAGCTTTCTCTTCCAATTTTATTTCTTCACACTGGATTAATGGACCTTGAGGTCACTAACCACAGCAGGTGTGGGCCTTGAGGTCACTAACCACAGCAGGTGTGGGCCCTGAGGTCACTAACCACAGCAGGTGTGGACCTTGAGGTCACTAACCACAGTAGGTGTGGACCTTGAGGTCACTAACCACAGTACGTGTGGACCTTGAGGTCACTAACCACAGTAGGTGTGGACCTTGAGGTCACTAACCACAGCAGGTGTGGACCGTAAGGTCACTAACCACAGCAGGTGTGGACATTGAGGTCACTAACCACAGCAGGTGTGGGCCCTGAGGTCACTAACCACAGCAGGTGTGGGCCCTGAGGTCACTAACCACAGCAGGTGTGGGCCCTGAGGTCACTAACCACAGCAGGTGTGGGCCCTGAGGTCACTAACCACAGCAGGTGTGGGCCCTGAGGTCACTAACCACAGCAGGTGTGGACCTTGAGGTCACTAACCACAGCAGGTGTGGACCTTGAGGTCACTAACCACAGCAGGTGTGGACCTTGAGGTCACTAACCACAGCAGGTGTGGACCTTGAGGTCACTAACCACAGCAGGTGTGGACCTTGAGGTCACTAACCACAGCAGGTGTGGGCCCTGAGGTCACTAACCACAGCAGGTATGGGCCCTGAGGTCACTAACCACAGCAGGTATGGGCCCTGAGGTCACTAACCACAGCTGGTGTGGGCCCTGAGGTCACTAACCACAGCAGGTGTGGGCCCTGAGGTCACTAACCACAGCAGGTATGGGCCCTGAGGTCACTAACCACAGCAGGTGTGGACCTTGAGGTCACTAACCACAGCAGGTGTGGGCCCTGAGGTCACTAACCACAGCAGGTGTGGGCCCTGAGGTCACTAACCACAGCAGGTGTGGGCCCTGAGGTCACTAACCACAGCAGGTGTGGACCTTGAGGTCACTAACCACAGCAGGTGTGGACCTTGAGGTCACTAACCACAGCAGGTGTGGACCTTGAGGTCACTAACCACAGCAGGTGTGGACCTTGAGGTCACTAACCACAGCAGGTGTGGGCTTTGAGGTCACTAACCACAGCAGATGTGAGCCTTGAGATCACTAACCACAGCAGGTGTGGGCCCTGAGGTCACTAACCACAGCAGGTGTGGACCTTGAGGTCATTAACCACAGCAGGTGTGGACCTTGAGATCATTAACCACAGCAGGTATGGGCCCTGAGGTCACTAACCACAGCAGGTGTGGACCTTGAGGTCACTAACCACAGTAGGTGTGGACCTTGAGGTCACTAACCACAGTAGGTGTGGACCTTGAGGTCACTAACCACAGTAGGTGTGGACCTTGAGGTCACTAACCACAGCAGGTATGGACCTTGAGGTCACTAACCACAGCAGGTGTGGACCGTAAGGTCACTAACCACAGCAGGTGTGGACCTTGAGGTCACTAACCACAGCAGGTGTGGGCCCTGAGGTCACTAACCACAGCAGGTATGGGCCCTGAGGTCACTAACCACAGCAGGTTTGGGCCCTGAGGTCACTAACCACAGCTGGTGTGGGCCCTGAGGTCACTAACCACAGCAGGTGTGGGCCCTGAGGTCACTAACCACAGCAGGTATGGGCCCTGAGGTCACTAACCACAGCAGGTGTGGACCTTGAGGTCACTAACCACAGCAGGTGTGGGCCCTGAGGTCACTAACCACAGCAGGTGTGGGCCCTGAGGTCACTAACCACAGCAGGTGTGGGCCCTGAGGTCACTAACCACAGCAGGTGTGGACCTTGAGGTCACTAACCACAGCAGGTGTGGACCTTGAGGTCACTAACCACAGCAGGTGTGGACCTTGAGGTCACTAACCACAGCAGGTGTGGACCTTGAGGTCACTAACCACAGCAGGTGTGGGCTTTGAGGTCACTAACCACAGCAGATGTGAGCCTTGAGATCACTAACCACAGCAGGTGTGGGCCCTGAGGTCACTAACCACAGCAGGTGTGGACCTTGAGGTCATTAACCACAGCAGGTGTGGACCTTGAGATCATTAACCACAGCAGGTATGGGCCCTGAGGTCACTAACCACAGCAGGTGTGGACCTTGAGGTCACTAACCACAGTAGGTGTGGACCTTGAGGTCACTAACCACAGTAGGTGTGGACCTTGAGGTCACTAACCACAGTAGGTGTGGACCTTGAGGTCACTAACCACAGCAGGTATGGACCTTGAGGTCACTAACCACAGCAGGTGTGGACCGTAAGGTCACTAACCACAGCAGGTGTGGACCTTGAGGTCACTAACCACAGCAGGTGTGGGCCCTGAGGTCACTAACCACAGCAGGTGTGGGCCCTGAGGTCACTAACCACAGCAGGTATGGGCCCTGAGGTCACTAACCACAGCAGGTGTGGGCCCTGAGGTCACTAACCACAGCAGGTGTGGGCCCTGAGGTCACTAACCACAACAGGTGTGGACCTTGAGGTCACTAACCACAGCAGGTGTGGACCTTGAGGTCACTAACCACAGCAGGTGTGGACCTTGAGGTCACTAACCACAGCAGGTGTGGACCTTGAGGTCACTAACCACAGCAGGTGTGGACCTTGAAGTCACTAACCACAGCAGGTGTGGACCTTGAGGTCACTAACCACAGCAGATGTTGACCTTTACGTCAGCTCTGGCAGATGTCTAGGCCAGGTCTGATTGTGTCAACTTCGATGTTAGTGAGAGCAGATGTTTGTGTAGCTGTCATAGCAGGTGTTTACCTAGGTATCTGTCAATGCTTCAAGCACCTATGCAGTTTGAATATCGCCCAATATTGCAATGAGCATTTTAATTGGGTCCGTGAATCCCAGCTATTGATGGCGGCACGGCAGGCCGGGTGTGTGTATGTGGAGATCAATGCCTCGATAGCAACGTTGTTCAGCCCGGCTGTTGCATCAGTGTTGGAACCGTTGACCACCGGGCTGTCAGCACTGGTTCTCTAAGGTCATGTCGTTGGGAAACTTGGCTTCATCGCCTTAGATTAACGCTCGGAACTGATCATGTTTTGTTTGACTTCTCAAGGGAACTTTTAAGTGGTTTGTTGGGTTTGACTTTGAGTGTGGTTATACGTGGTGTGGTTATACGTGGTGTGGTTATACGTGGTGTGGTTATACGTGGTGTGGTTATACATGGTGTGGTTATACATGGTGTGGTTATACATGGTGTGGTTATACGTGGTGTGGTTATACATGGTGTGGTTATACGTGGTGTGGTTATACGTGGTGTGGTTATACGTGGTGTGGTTATACTTGGTGTGGTTATACTTGGTGTGGTTATACGTGGTGTGGTTATACGTGGTGTGGTTATACATGGTGTGGTTATACGTGGTGTGGTTATACATGGTGTGGTTATACGTGGTGTGGTTATACGTGGTGTGGTTATACGTGGTGTGGTTATACGTGGTGTGGTTATACGTGGTGTGGTTATACTTGGTGTGGTTATACGTGGTGTGGTTATACGTGGTGTGGTTATACATGGTGTAGTTATACGTGGTGTGGTTATACATGGTGTGGTTATACGTGGTGTGGTTATACGTGGTGTGGTTATACATGGTGTAGTGGTGATGTTCTATACGGTGTAGTGGTGGTGTTCTACACGGTGTAGCGGTGTTCTACACGGTGTAGTGGTGGTGTTCTACACGGTGTAGCGGTGTTCTACACGGTGTAGTGGTGGTGGTCTACACGGTGTAGCGGTGTTCTACACGGTGTAGCGGTGTTCTACACGGTGTAGTGGTGGTGTTCAACACGGTGTAGCGGTGTTCTACACGGTGTAGTGGTGGTGTTCTACACGGTGTAGCGGTGTTCTACACGGTGTAGTGGTGGTGTTCTACACGGTGTAGCGGTGTTCTACACGGTGTAGTGGTGGTGTTCTACACGGTGTAGCGGTGTTCTACACGGTGTAGCGGTGTTCTACACGGTGTAGTGGTGGTGTTCTACACGGTGTAGCGGTGGTGTTCTACACGGTGTAGCGGTGGTGTTCTACACGGTGTAGCGGTGGTGTTCTACACGGTGTAGCGGGTGTTCTACACGGTGTAGCGGGTGTTCTACACGGTGTAGCGGTGTTCTACACGGTGTAGCGGTGTTCTACACGGTGTAGCGGTGTTCTACACGGTGTAGCGGTGTTCTACACGGTGTAGCGGGTGTTCTACACGGTGTAGCGGTGTTCTACATGGTGTAGCGGTGTTCTACACGGTGTAGCGGGTGTTCTACACGGTGTAGCGGGTGTTCTACACGGTGTAGTGGGTGTTCTACATGGTGACTCCCGCCCACAGAGAGCGCCCTCTTCGGCCAGGAGCTGCTGCTGCCCCACGCCCACAGGGAGCACACGGGAGACTACACCTGCGAGGCCTTCAACGGCATCCCGCCCAACGACTACAAGACCTTCACCGTCGAGGTTCACTGTGAGTACCGGGGCATGGTTGGGGGAGCATGGTTGGGGGAGCATGGTTGGGGGAGCATGGTTGGGGGAGCATGGTTGGGGGGCATGGTTGGGGGGGCATGGTTGGGGGGGAGCATGGTTGGGGGAGCATGGTTGAGGAGCATGGTTGGGGGCATGGTTGGGGGAGCATGGTTGGGGGGGCATGGTTGGGGGAGCATGGTTGGGGGAGCATGGTTGAGGAGCATGGTTGGGGGGCATGGTTGGGGGGCATGGTTGGGGGAGCATGGTTGGGGGGATTGATTGGGGGGGGGGCATGGGTGAGGGGGCATGGTTGGGGGGAGCATGGTTGGGGAGCATGGTTGGGGAGCATGGTTGGGGGGCATGGTTGGGGGAGCATGGTTGGGGGGATTGGTTGGGGGGAGCATGGTTGGGGGGCATGGTTGGGGGCATGGTTGGGAGAGCATGGTTGGGGCATGGTTGGGGGCATGGTTGGGGGGGCGTGGTCGGGGGGCATGGATGGGGGGCGTGGTTGGGGGAGCATGGTTGGGGGACATGGTTGGGGGAGCATGGTTGGGGGGTATGGTTGGGGGGCATGGTTGGGGGCATGGTTGGGGGACATGGGGGGTATGGTTGGGGAGCATGGTTGGGGGACATGGTTAGGGGCATGGTTGTGGGCATGGTTGGGGGACATGGTTGGGGAGCATGGTTGGGGGCATGGTTGTGGGGGCATGGTTGGGGGCATGATTGGGGAGCATGGTTGGGGGCATGGTTGGGGGGTATGGTTGGGGGCATGGTTGGGGATATGGTCGTGGGCACCTTCATGTGCACGGTCATGGTCGTGGGCACGGTCATGGTCGTGGGCATGGTCGTGGGCACGGTCATGGTCCTGGGCACGGTCGTGGGCACGGTCATGGTCGTGGGCACGCACATGGTCGTGGGCACGCACATGGTCGTGGGCACGCACATGGTCGTGGGCACGCTCATGGTCGTGGGCACGCACATGGTCCTGGGCACGCACATGGTCGTGGGCACGGTCATGGTCGTGGGCACGGTCATGGTCCTGGTCATGGTCCTGGGCACGGTCATGGTCGTGGGCATGGTCGTGGGCACGGTCATGGTCGTGGGCACGGTCATGGTCGTGGTCATGGTCGTGGGCACGGTCATGGTCGTGGGCATGGTCGTGGGCACGGTCATGGGCACGGTCATGGTCGTGGGCACGCACATGGTCGTGGGCACGCACATGGTCATGGGCACGCTCATAGTCACGCTCATGGTCGTGGGCACGCTCATGGTCGTGGGCACGCTCATGGTCGTGGGCACGCACATGGTCGTGGGCACGCTCATGGTCGTGGGAACGCTCATGGTCGTGGGCACGCTCATGGTCGTGGGCACGCTCATGGTCGTGGGCACGCTCATAGTCACGCACATGGTCGTGGGCACGCTCATGGTCGTGGGCACCCTCATGGTCACGCACATGGTCGTGGGCACCCTCACGGCCGTACTACATGTCATAGAGTCCACATAATACAACCAACAAGTCCACAACATCATCAAATATCAACACAGTCTAACACCTGCAACATTGGACAGTTGACCCGTACCTGCGAGTGAAGCAGTGGAGGGTCGGCGCCTACAACACCTCCAAGGCCCAGCTGGAGTGCCACGTCGAGGCCTTCCCCGTCGCCGTCACCTACTGGGAAGACCAGCACGGCAGAATACTCGACAACTCCACCAAGTACTCCGTCACCTACCACCAGGACCCGAAATTCGTCTGGAAGGTGAGTGCCAGGGTTCGAAACCTCACTCTGGGGTGGGGGAGGAGGGGGGGGTGTATGGGGCGCTCTACAGGGTGTGTGTGTGTGTGTGTGTGTATGGGGCGCTCTACAGGGTGTGTGTGTGTGGGGGGGGGGGCGCTCTACAGGGTGTGTGTGTGTGTGTGTGTGTGTATGGGGCGCTCCACAGGGTGTGTGTGTGTATGGGGCGCTCCACAGGGTGTGTGTATGTATGGGACGCTCTACAGGGTGTGTGTGTGTGTGTGTGTGTGTATGGGACGCTCCACAGGGTGTGTGTGTGTGTGTGTGTGTGTATGGGACGCTCCACAGGGTGTGTGTGTGTGTATGGGACGCTCCACAGGGTGTGTGTGTGTGTGTGTGTATGGGACGCTCCACAGGGTGTGTGTGTGTAAAACACCCCTCTACAGGGGTGTTTTATAGTAAATCGATTTACTATAAAACCAGAAAAACGGCCAGCCTACTCATGAGAAACTCTCCAGACACAAAACAGAACGCTTTAAAAGAGACTAACGTCGTCTATGCCTTCAAATGCCCTCTTGGGGACTGTAAGCTCCAAAAAACCCAGTATATAGGCAAGACAACAACATCTCTTTCTAGGCGTTTAACGATGCATAAGCAACAGGGCTCCATTAAGGAACATATAATCTCTTCCCACAACCAAACCATCGCCAGAGAAATCCTAGTAAACAACACAGAAATCATCGATAGATACAGCGATAGCAGGCGGCTTGACGTTTGCGAGGCACTACACATCAAGAAGTCAACACCAGCAATCAACAGCCAATTAATGCACAACTATATTCTACCCACCTCAAGACTCCGCTCCAATATAGAAGCATCAAGAAATATGGACCAATAGGCTTTCTACAAACACTTCTATTCAATACCCATTGTTTCGTGTTCTGTCTTGTGTTGATGAAATTAATACCCTATTAATGCCACCTCTTGTTCTGTCTTGTGTTGATGAAATTAATACCCTATTAATGCCACCTCACCCCATCCACCTCACTCAAATGTAGATATAAAATCGGAGATGCGTAAGTTCTATTCAGTTGTGTATTTGTAAACTAAAAGTCTTTGAAAATGTAATAAGTTTTACGAAACGCGCTCGTGTCGCGTCAGACTAGAAATAAAAATGAATTTTGGAGAATTGATTTTCGATTTACCTCCAACAGTGAAAAGAAATGTACGAAAGATTGAGAAAATTCGTGTTAGAATTATTAATCTTACTTTTTCGGTCATATTTAATAATAATATATATATATATATATATATATATATATAATAATATATATATATATATATATATATATATATATATATATATATATATTATATTATATGTATAATATATCAAACAGAACACTTCCCCATATGAGAGAATCGAACCATGGACCTGCAGATGCCAGGCCGCTGGCGAATAATAGTTGGAGATCCTATTGGGTGACATATTCGACCTCGGGACGCAAAAGAAGGTCACCACCAAAGACACCTTACAAGCAGAACTTATTGCAGAAGAAGGAAAGATTCGAGGTAACTACAGAAGCACCATACTGTTCCCTGAGCTCAAAGCGGCAGCTAAGAGCCTTCGTGAAAACAAGGAGATAGTCGTCAAGAGAGGTGACAAGTCGCCATTATACATCATTCTTAAAAACGAATATCTGGCGAAAATGAACCTCATACTCTCTGACCAAACTAAATTCCAAAGGGTAACGAAGGACACTACAGCCGAATTGTAAACGAAGGTAAACAGATTGATCGAAACTGTGAATGTCAAGAAATCCGGACTCCACCTGCTAAAGATTATTGGGGAATACAAACCTGGGTATGCCTATAGAAATGTCAAGACCCACAAGCCTGGAAACCCACTTCGGCCAATCATCAGCCAGATACCCACACCCACGTACAGACTGGCGAAACGACTCAACGGCTTGCTGATTCCTTATGTACTTTGTGCTTTCAGCCTGAAGTCTCCAAAGGAATTTGTTGACTTACTGCCGGAAACACGGGCCACAGGGATAAGAGCCTCGTTGGATGTAGTCACTGTTTACCAATGAACCTGTGGATGAAACAATCGGTATGATAGCGGACAGAGTGTATCATGATCGATCTCATAAGCATACCTTAGAGTTTATCATAATCGACCTCGTTCTGGCCGCTCCTGCGACGTTACTGGAACCATGTGTATTGGCATTTGCCTTTCTATTGGATTATTTCAGCAACGTGGAGAGGGGGGGACCTGCTGCATGGGGTAACAGCTTCTCCTCCATATCTACATACCCAGGCTTTGGGCCCTGTCAGGGCGCAACTCCATAGTCTTCCGAGACGGAAGGACGCCTACTACTTATATTATATACGTGCAAACAAGCCTGAATGGTCCCCAGGACTATATACAACTGAAAACTCACACCCCAGAAGTGACTCGAACCCATACTCCCACAACTGGTATGTACAGGGACGCCTTAATCCGCTTGACCATCACGACCGGACATAAGGAAGTGATAGCCGAGGCTATTTGAACCACTTCCCCGCCGGCACTCGGATGGTAATCTTGGGCATAGCATTTTATCAAATCACCTCATTCTTTGGGGCACACGTGAGGAACACAAATGCAAACAAGCCTGAATGGTCCCCAGGACTATATACAACTGAAAACTCACACCCCAGAAGTGACTCGAACCCATACTCCCACAACTGGTATGTACAGGGACGCCTTAATCCGCTTGACCATCACGACCGGACATAAGGAAGTGATAGCCGAGGCTATTTGAACCACTTCCCCGCCGGCACTCGGATGGTAATCTTGGGCATAGCATTTTATCAAATCACCTCATTCTTTGGGGCACACGTGAGGAACACAAATGCAAACAAGCCTGAATGGTCCCCAGGACTATATACAACTGAAAACTCACACCCCAGAAGTGACTCGAACCCATACTCCCACAACTGGTATGTACAGGGACGCCTTAATCCGCTTGACCATCACGACCGGACATAAGGAAGTGATAGCCGAGGCTATTTGAACCACTTCCCCGCCGGCACTCGGATGGTAATCTTGGGCATAGCATTTTATCAAATCACCTCATTCTTTGGGGTACACGTGTGGATTTTTCAGTTGTATATAGTCCTGGGGACCATTCAGGCTTGTTTGCATTTGTGTTCCTCACGTGTGCCCCAAAGAATGAGGTGATTTGATAAAATGCTATGCCCAAGATTACCATCCGAGTGCCGGCGGGGAAGTGGTTCAAATAGCCTCGGCTATCACTTCCTTATGTCCGGTCGTGATGGTCAAGCGGATTAAGGCGTCCCTGTACATACCAGTTGTGGAGTATGGGTTCGAGTCACTTCTGGGGTGTGAGTTTTCAGTTGTATATAGTCCTGGGGACCATTCAGGCTTGTTTGCATTTGTGTTCCTCACGTGTGCCCCAAAGAATGAGGTGATTTGATAAAATGCTATGCCCAAGATTACCATCCGAGTGCCGGCGGGGAAGTGGTTCAAATAGCCTCGGCTATCACTTCCTTATGTCCGGTCGTGATGGTCAAGCGGATTAAGGCGTCCCTGTACATACCAGTTGTGGGAGTATGGGTTCGAGTCACTTCTGGGGTGTGAGTTTTCAGTTGTATATAGTCCTGGGGACCATTCAGGCTTGTTTGCATTTGTGTTCCTCACGTGTGCCCCAAAGAATGAGGTGATTTGATAAAATGCTATGCCCAAGATTACCATCCGAGTGCCGGCGGGGAAGTGGTTCAAATAGCCTCGGCTATCACTTCCTTATGTCCGGTCGTGATGGTCAAGCGGATTAAGGCGTCCCTGTACATACCAGTTGTGGGAGTATGGGTTCGAGTCACTTCTGGGGTGTGAGTTTTCAGTTGTATATAGTCCTGGGGACCATTCAGGCTTGTTTGCATTTGTGTTCCTCACGTGTGCCCCAAAGAATGAGGTGATTTGATAAAATGCTATGCCCAAGATTACCATCCGAGTGCCGGCGGGGAAGTGGTTCAAATAGCCTCGGCTATCACTTCCTTATGTCCGTCGTGATGGTCAAGCGGATTAAGGCGTCCCTGTACATACCAGTTGTGGGAGTATGGGTTCGAGTCACTTCTGGGGTGTGAGTTTTCAGTTGTATATAGTCCTGGGGACCATTCAGGCTTGTTTGCATTTGTGTTCCTCACGTGTGCCCCAAAGAATGAGGTGATTTGATAAAATGCTATGCCCAAGATTACCATCCGAGTGCCGGCGGGGAAGTGGTTCAAATAGCCTCGGCTATCACTTCCTTATGTCCGGTCGTGATGGTCAAGCGGATTAAGGCGTCCCTGTACATACCAGTTGTGGGAGTATGGGTTCGAGTCACTTCTGGGGTGTGAGTTTTCAGTTGTATATAGTCCTGGGGACCATTCAGGCTTGTTTGCATTTGTGTTCCTCACGTGTGCCCCAAAGAATGAGGTGATTTGATAAAATGCTATGCCCAAGATTACCATCCGAGTGCCGGCGGGGAAGTGGTTCAAATAGCCTCGGCTATCACTTCCTTATGTCCGGTCGTGATGGTCAAGCGGATTAAGGCGTCCCTGTACATACCAGTTGTGGGAGTATGGGTTCGAGTCACTTCTGGGGTGTGAGTTTTCAGTTATATTATATACGTGTGTAAATCTCTTTCAAATTATATACACAGTGTATTTACAAATTAATAACAAAATATTATTTCTTGTTCTTATCAATGTCTTGTTCTCTCTATCTTGTTCTTATCAATGTCTTGTTCTCTCTCTTGTTCTTCTCAATGTCTTGTTCTCTCTATCTTGTTCTTATCAATGTCTTGTTCTCTCTCTCTTGTTCTTCTCAATGTCTTGTTCTCTCTCTCTTGTTCTTATCAATGTCTTGTTTTCTCTCTTGTTCTTATCAATGTCTTAATTGTTCTGTTTCTTGTTCTTCTCAGTGTCTTAATTGTTCTCTGCCATGTTGTTGTGTGTTGTTCATGGAGGGGTGTTCTCCTCAGAGTGTGATGATGCTGAACATCTCCAACGTTGAGGCTGGAGACTTCGGGGACTACCACTGTGTGGCCAAGAACGAGCTCTCCATCACCCGCGGCCTTATTAAGCTCTATGGTAAGTGGTCTGCTGCTGCCTGTACTGTGTCTCTGCTCTCTCTCACACACACACTCTCTGGGGGGCCTCGTAGCCTGGTGGATAGCGCGCAGGACTCGTAATTCTGTGGCGCGGGTTCGATTCCCGCACGAGGCAGAAACAAATGGGCAAAAGTTTCTTTCACCCTAAGTGCCCCTGTTACCTAGCAGTAAATAGGTACCTGGGAGTTAGTCAGCTGTCACGGGATGCTTCCTGGGGTGTGTGTGTGTGTGGGGTGGAAAAAAAAATAGTAAACAGTTGATTGACAGTTGAGAGGCGGGCCGAAAGAGCAAAGCTCAACCCCCGTAAAAACACAACTAGTAAACACACACACACACACACACACACACACACACACACACACACACACACACACACACACACACACACACACACACACACACACACACACACACACACACACACACACACACACACACACCACACAACGGCTGACGTGTGTGTGTGTGCACTCACCTAGTTGTGCTTGAGGGGGTTGAGCTCTGGCTCTTTGGTCCCGCCTCTCAACCGTCAATCAACAGGTGTACAGGTTCCTGAGCCTATTGGGCTCTATCATATCTACACTTGAAACTGTGTATGGAGTCAGCCTCCACCACATCACTTCCTAATGCATTCCATTTGTCAACCACTCTGACACTAAAAAAGTTCTTTCTAAAATCTTTGTGGCTCATTTGGGCACACAGTTTCCACCTGTGTCCCCTTGTGCGTGTGCCCCTTGTGTTAAATAACCTGTGTGTGTGTGTGTGTGTGTGTGTGTGTGTGTGTGTGTGTGTGTGTGTGTGTGTGTGTGTGTACTCACCTAATTGTGCTTGCGGGGGTTGAGCTCTGGCTCTTTGGTCCCGCCTCTCAACCGTCAATCAACTGGTGTACAGATTCCTGAGCCTATTGGGCTCTATCATATGTGTGTGTGTGTGTGTGTGTGTGTGTGTGTGTGTGTGTGTGTGTGTGTGTGTGTGTGTGTGTGTGTGTTAGAACTGTATGTCTGTGTGTAGTAAATATATGATAAAGATCACAGGTTAGGAGTCACTGTATTAGACAACCGACGGCGGGGTCCAAGAGCTAACAGCTCGATCCTGCACACACGAATATGAAATACTCACGCGACCAACTAATGAGCCACAGTACACACACACTCCACAGTACACACACACTCCACAGTGCACACATACTCCACAGTACACACACACTCCACAGTGCACACATACTCCACAGTACACACACACTCCACAGTACACACACACTCCACAGTACACACACACTCCACAGTACACACACACTCCACAGTACACACACACTCCACAGTACACACACACTCCACAGTGCACACACACTCCACAGTACACACACACTCCACAGTACACACACACTCCACAGTACACACACACTCCACAGTACACACACACTCCACAGTACACACACACTCCACAGTACACACACACTCCACAGTACACACACACTCCACAGTACACACACACTCCACAGTACACACACACTCCACAGTACACACACACTCCACAGTACACACACACTCCACAGTACACACACACTCCACAGTACACACACACTCCACAGTACACACACACTCCACAGTACACACACACTCCACAGTACACACACACTCCACAGTACACACACACTCCACAGTACACACACACTCCACAGTACACACATACTCCACAGTACACACACACTCCACAGTACACACACACTCCACAGTACACACATACTCCACAGTACACACACACTCCACAGTACACACACACTCCACAGTACACACACACTCCACAGTACACACATACTCCACAGTACACACACACTCCACAGTACACACACACTTCACAGTACACACACACTTCACAGTACACACACACTCCACAGTACACACACACTCCACAGTACACACACACTCCACAGTACACACACACTCCACAGTACACACATACTCCACAGTACACACACACTACACAGTACACACATACTCCACAGTACACACATACTCCACAGTACACACACACTCCACAGTACACACACACTCCACAGTACACAGTACACACACACTCCACAGTACACACACACTCCACAGTACACACACACTCCACAGTACACACACACTCCACAGTACACACACACTCCACAGTACACACACACTCCACAGTACACACACACTCCACAGTACACACATACTCCACAGTACACAGTACACACATACTCCACAGTACACACACACTACACAGTACACACACACTCCACAGTACACACACACTCCACAGTACACACACACTCCACAGTACACACACACTCCACAGTACACACACACTCCACAGTACACACATACTCCACAGTACACAGTACACATACACAGGTACACAGCTACAAGTGTTGTGTACCAGGCCTGTGTAGCCTTTGAGCACCAGTGGATTAAATGTTGAGAGGCAGGACCAGGGAGCTGAAGTTTAACCCTCACAAGACCTGTATAACCTGCACCGCAAGACCCCATAAGGCTAAATATAATATCCAAATATTATACCAGTAGCAGGATTAACTAACATTATATGAACACTAATTATATTCCTGAACAAAAACATGCATCCGAACACCTATTCATATAGATAGACAAAACTGTATAGCCAGTGGAAGGAACAAAATTGTATAGCCAGTGGAAGGGAGAAAATTGTATAGCCAGTGGAAGGGACAAAACTGTATAGCCAGTGAAAGGGACACAATTGTATAGCCAGTGGAAGAGACACAATTGTATAGCCAGTGGAAGAGACAAAATTGTATAGCCAGTGGAAGGGACAAAACTGTATAGCCAGTGGAAGGGACACAATTGTATAGCCAGTGGAAGAGACACAATTGTATAGCCAGTGGAAGAGACAAAATTGTATAGCCAGTGGAAGGGACAAAACTGTATAGCCAGTGGAAGGGACACAATTGTATAGCCAGTGGAAGGGACACAATTGTATAGCCAGTGGAAGGGACAAAACTGTATAGCCAGTGAAAGGGACACAATTGTATAGCCAGTGGAAGGGACAAAATTGTATAGCCAGTGAAAGGGACACAATTGTATAGCCAGTGAAAGGGACACAATTGTATAGCCAGTGGAAGGGACACAATTGTATAGCCAGTGGAAGGGACAAAACTGTATAGCCAGTGGAAGGAACAAAATTGTATAGCCAGTGAAAGGAACAAAACTGTATAGCCAGTGGAAGGGAGAAAATTGTATAGCCAGTGGAAGAGACAAAATTGTATAGCCAGTGGAAGGGACAAAATTGTATAGCCAGTGGAAGGGACAAAATTGTATAGCCAGTGGAAGAGACAAAATTGTATAGCCAGTGAAAGGGACACAATTGTATAGCCAGTGGAAGGGACAAAACTGTATAGCCAGTGGAAGGGACAAAATTGTATAGCCAGTGGAAGAGACAAAATTGTATAGCCAGTGGAAGGAACAAAACTGTATAGCCAGTGGAAGGGACAAAACTGTATAGCCAGTGGAAGGGACAAAATTGTATAGCCAGTGGAAGGGACAAAATTGTATAGCCAGTGGAAGGGACAAAATTGTATAGCCAGTGGAAGGAACAAAACTGTATAGCCAGTGGAAGGGACAAAACTGTATAGCCAGTGGAAGGGACAAAATTGTATAGCCAGTGGAAGGGACAAAATTGTATAGCCAGTGGAAGGGACAAAATTGTATAGCCAGTGGAAGGGACAAAACTGTATAGCCAGTGGAAGGGACAAAACTGTATAGCCAGTGGAAGGGACAAAACTGTATAGCCAGTGGAAGGGACAAAATTGTATAGCCAGTGGAAGGGACAAAATTGTATAGCCAGTGGAAGGGACACAATTGTATAGCCAGTGGAAGGGACAAAACTGTATAGCCAGTGGAAGGGACAAAACTGTATAGCCTGTGGAAGAGACAAAATTGTATAGCCAGTGAAAGAGACACAATTGTATAGCCAGTGGAAGGGACAAAATTGTATAGCCAGTGGAAGGGACACAATTGTATAGCCAGTGGAAGGGACAAAACTGTATAGCCAGTGGAAGGGACAAAACTGTATAGCCTGTGGAAGAGACAAAATTGTATAGCCAGTGAAAGAGACACAATTGTATAGCCAGTGGAAGGGACACAATTGTATAGCCAGTGGAAGGGACAAAACTGTATAGCCAGTGGAAGGGACAAAACTGTATAGCCTGTGGAAGAGACAAAATTGTATAGCCAGTGGAAGGGACAAAACTGTATAGCCAGTGGAACGAACAAAACTTGTATAGCCAGTGAAAGGAACAAAACTGTATAGCCAGTGGAAGGGACAAAATTGTATAGCCAGTGGAAGAGACAAAATTTCCAGCATTTTCACTGTCCACGCTTGGTGCTCCTGACAGAGATTGACACGACCTTGTTCATCCCATCAACTGGGACGGTGGATGGGTTGACCTTTGGTCCGGGCCCGCCCAGCTTTGTTGACCTGTTCAATGACTTGTGCCCTCCCGCCAAGTGCCCGGACTGCTCCAAAGTCTCCAAGTGCGCAGAGGGCCGCGGGGCGCTCTTCGGCATCCGCGTTGAGCAGTTCGGCAACGACACCTACCCGGGCTTCAAGAACAGGTCCACAGGTGAGTTAATATGTTTTCCGCCTTGTGTTGCAGACTACTTGGGAGTGTTGCAGACTGCTTGGGAGTGTTGCAGACTGCTTGGGAGTGTTGCAGACTGCTTGGGAGTGTTGCAGACTACTTGGGAGTGTTGCAGACTACTTGGGAGTGTTGCAGACTGCTTGGGAGTGTTGCAGACTGCTTGGGACTGTTGCAGACTGCTTGGGAGTGTTGCAGACTGCTTGGGAGTGTTGCAGACTGCTTGGGAGTGTTGCAGACTGCTTGGGAGTGTTGCAGACTACTTGGGAGTGTTGCAGACTACTTGGGAGTGTTGCAGACTGCTTGGGAGTGTTGCAGACTGATTGGGAGTGTTGCAGACTGATTGGGAGTGTTGCAGACTGCTTGGGAGTGTTGCAGACTGATTGGGAGTGTTGCAGACTACTTGGGAGTGTTGCAGACTGATTGGGAGTGTTGCAGACTACTTGGGAGTGTTGCAGACTGATTGGGAGTGTTGCAGACTACTTGGGAGTGTTGCAGACTGCTTGGGAGTGTTGCAGACTACTTGGGAGTGTTGCAGACTGATTGGGAGTGTTGCAGACTACTTGGGAGTGTTGCAGACTGATTGGGAGTGTTGCAGACTGCTTGGGAGTGTTGCAGACTGCTTGGGAGTGTTGCAGACTGCTTGGGAGTGTTGCAGACTGCTTGGGAGTGTTGCAGACTGCTTGGGAGTGTTGCAGACTGCTTGGGAGTGTTGCAGACTGCTTGGGAGTGTTGCAGACTGCTTGGGAGTGTTGCAGACTGCTTGGGAGTGTTGCAGACTGCTTGGGAGTGTTGCAGACTGATTGGGAGTGTTGCAGACTACTTGGGAGTGTTGCAGACTGATTGGGAGTGTTGCAGACTACTTGGGAGTGTTGCAGACTGCTTGGGAGTGTTGCAGACTGCTTGGGAGTGTTGCAGACTACTTGGGAGTGTTGCAGACTACTTGGGAGTGTTGTAGACTGTACTGGTGTGTTGCAGACTGTACTGGTGTGTCGTGGTGACTGTTGCAGACTGTACTAGAGTGTTGTGGTGACTGTTGCAGACTGTACTAGAGTGTTGTGGTGACTGTTGCAGACTGTACTAGAGTTTGCACTGAGACTGTACTAGAGTGTTGTGGTGACTGTTGCAGACTGTACTAGAGTGTTGTGGTGACTGTTGCTGACTGTACTAGAGTGTTGTGGTGACTGTTGCAGACTGTACTAGAGTGTGTGGTGTGGTGACTGTTGCAGACTGTACTAGAGTGTTGTGGTGACTGTTGTACTAGAGTGTTGTGGTGACTGTACTAGAGTGTTGTGGTGACTGTTGCAGACTGTACTAGAGTGTTGTGGTGACTGTTGCTGACTGTACTAGAGTGTTGTGGTGACTGTTGCAGACTGTACTAGAGTGTCGTGGTGACTGTTGCAGACTGTACTAGAGTGTTGTGGTGACTGTTGCAGACTGTACTAGAGTGTTGTGGTGACTGTTGCAGACTGTACTAGAGTGTTGTGGTGACTGTTGCTGACTGTACTAGAGTGTTGTGGTGACTGTTGCAGACTGTACTAGAGTGTCGTGGTGACTGTTGCTGACTGTTGCAGACTGTACTAGAGTGTTGTGGTGACTGTTGCAGACTGTAGACTGTTAGAGAGTGTTGGTGACTGTTGCAGACTGTTAGAGTGTCAGACTGTACTAGAGTGTTGTGTTGACTGTTGCAGACTGTACTAGAGTGTTGTGGTGACTGTTGCAGACTGTACTAGAGTGTTGTGTTGACTGTTACAGACTGTACTAGAGTGTCGTGGTGACTGTTGCTGACTGTTGCAGACTGTACTAGAGTGTTGTGGTGACTGTTGCTGACTGTACTAGAGTGTTGTGGTGACTGTTGCAGACTGTACTAGAGTGTCGTGGTGACTGTTGCAGACTGTACTAGTGTCGTGGTGACTGTTGCAGACTGTACTAGAGTGTTGTGGTGACTGTTACAGACTGCATGTTGTCAGCCGTGGGCAAGCCGGTGTATCATCGCCACACAGACTCCAAATACGGGTCGTGGATGCGGGACCCGCACCCGCTCGAGCCCCGGCGGGAGCCCCGGTTCTGGACCACGGACCCGGCCGACCCGTACCGCCTCTACGAGTTCTCCGACAAGAACCGGTACCGGAAGAACCTGCCTAGCAAGAACTACACGCTCTCCTGGCCCTTCACTGTGAGTCTTGGCGCCAAGAACGTCTTTCCTGATGAGTATTGGGCATTCTTGATGAGTATTGGGCATTTTTGATGAGTATTGGGCATTCTTGATGAGTATTGGGCATTCTTGACGAGTATTGGGCATTCTTGATGAGTATTGGGCATTCTTGACGAGTATTGGGCATTCTTGACGAGTATTGGGCATTCTTGACGAGTATTGGGCATTCTTGACGAGTATTGGGCATTCTTGACGAGTATTGGGCATTCTTGATGAGTATTGGGCATTCTTGATGAGTATTGGGCATTCTTGATGAGTATTGGGCATTCTTGATGAGTATTGGGCATTCTTGATGAGTATTGGGCATTCATGATGAGTATTGGGCATTCTTGATGAGTATTGGGCATTCTTGATGAGTATTGGGCATTCTTGATGAGTATTGGGCATTCTTGATGAGTATTGGGCATTCTTGATGAGTATTGGGCATTTTTGATGAGTATTGGGCATTCTTGATGAGTATTGGGCATTCTTGATGAGTATTGGGCATTCTTGATGAGTATTGGGCATTCTTGATGAGTATTGGGCATTCTTGATGAGTATTGGGCATTCTTGATGAGTATTGGGCATTCTTGATGAGTATTGGGCATTCTTGATGAGTATTGGGCATTTTTGATGAGTATTGGGCATTTTTGATGAGTATTGGGCATTCTTGATGAGTATTGGGCATTCTTGATGAGTATTGGGCATTCTTGATGAGTATTGGGCATTCTTGATGAGTATTGGGCATTTTTGATGAGTATTGGGCATTTATGATGAGTATTGGGCATTTATGATGAGTATTGGGCATTCTTGATGAGTATTGGGCATTCTTGATGAGTATTGGGCATTCTTGATGAGTATTGGGCATTCTTGATGAGTATTGGGCATTTTTGATGAGTATTGGGCATTTTTGATGAGTATTGGGCATTTTTGATGAGTATTGGGCATTCTTGATGAGTATTGGGCATTCTTGATGGGTATTGGGCATTCTTGATGAATTGTTGTCACTAGTTTGGGTTCTCGTGGTGTAACAAGCGGGGTTATACATGGTATTCATTGTAAATATGTTAGGTTAAATGACGTGGTTGTGTTGTTTGGATCTTTGACTCACAAACAACGACATATTAGACACAATTAGATATAAAGGGGTTAAAGGTGGATAATAACTAACAAGCTACCTCGCCTGTGGTCACTAGGCCTCCAGCAGTTCCCCTATCGATGTGATCTACGTCCCATTGTCACTAGTTATTAGCATAAAGATGTACTGTATAGTTAAAAAAAAATTAACCAAAAAAAATGGGGGAAAAAAATGCAATAATTCGTCCGGCGCAGCGTACGGGTTAAGGACATGCCAGTGCCTCTGACCGTTCCTTGTCGTCCTCAGGGTAACTCCCATGTGGTGTACAACGGGTCGTTCTACTACCACCAGCAAGGTCACCAGAGCATCATCAGGTACGACCTCATCTCCGGCAACACCAAGTCCGTGTCGGTGCCTGGCGTTGCCACCACCGGTTACAACTACCTGTATGGCACCAGCCTGGACTACATCGACCTCAACACCGACGACAACGGCCTGTGGGCCATCTACGGCCTCCCTGAGAGCAACAACAACACTGTGGTGATGAAACTCGACCCTTGGACCCTCAAGGTACTCCTCCAGCCCCATGTTTACACTTGTACCAGGCAGTGTTTGCTGTATTGTTGTCACGTGTTGATAGGGTGGTGGGGGCCAGGTGCTCGGGGCCCAGGAGCTGGAGACTAACCAGGTGTCATCACTCCTGCAGGTGGAGTACAGCTGGAACATCTCCCTCAGCCACCACAAGTTTGGAGAGCTCTTCATCACCTGTGGAGTCCTCTATGCCATCGACAGCACCACAGAGAGAGACACTAAGATAAGGTATGTCCGCAGGCTGCTGCTGCTGCTGCTGTTGCTGCTGTTGCTGCTGTTGCTGGCTGCTGTTGCTGCTGCTGCAGGGGGCTGCTGCTGCAGGGGGCTGCTGCTGCTGCTGTTGCTGGCTGCTGTTGCTGGCTGCAGTTGCTGCTGCTGCTGCTGCTGCTGCAGGGGGCTGCTGCTGCTGCTGTTGCTATTGCTGCTGCTGCAGGGGGCTGCTGCTGCTGCTGTTGCCGTTGCTGCTGCTGCAGGGGGCTGCTGCTGCTGCTGCTGTTGCTGTTGCTGCTGCTGCAGGGGGCTGCTGCTGCTGTTGCTGTTGCAGGGGGCTGCTGCTGTTGCTGGCTGCTGGCTGCTGCTGCTGCTAGCTGCTGTTGCTGCTGCTGCAGGGGGCTGCTGCTGCTGCTGGCTGCTGTTGCTGGCTGCTGTTGCTGGCTGCAGTTGCTGCTGCTGCTGCTGCTGCAGGGGGCTGCTGCTGCTGCAGGGGGCTGCTGCTGCTGCAGGGGGCTGCTGCTGCTGCAGGGGGCTGCTGCTGCTGCTGCAGGGGGCTGCTGCTGCTGCTGTTGCTATTGCTGCTGCTGCAGGGGGCTGCTGCTGCTGCTGTTGCTGTTGCTGCTGCTGCTGCAGGGGGCTGCTGCTGCTGCTGCTGCAGGGGGCTGCTGCTGCTGCTGTTGCTGCTGCTGCAGGGGGCTGCTGCTGCTGTTGCTGTTGCAGGGGGCTGCTGCTGCTGCTGGCTGCTGTTGCTGCTGCTGCAGGGGGCTGCTGCTGCTAGCTGCTGTTGCTGTTGCTGCTGCTGCAGGGGGCTGCTGCTGCTGTTGCTGGCTGCTGTTGCTGCTGCTGCAGGGGGCTGCTGCTGCTGCTGCATGGGGCTGCTGCTAGCTGCTGTTGCTGTTGCTGCTGCTGCAGGGGGCTGCTGCTGTTGCTGTTGCTGGCTGCTGGCTGCTGTTGCTGCTGCTGTTGCTGTTGCTGGCTGCTGGCTGCTGTTGCTGCTGCTGCAGGGGGCTGCTGCTGTTGCTGCTGCTGCAGGGGGCTGCTGTTGCTGCTGCTGCAGGGGGCTGCTGCTGCTGCTGTTGCTGGCTGCTGGCTGCTGTTGCTGCTGCTGTTGCTGGCTGCTGGCTGCTGTTGCTGCTGCTGCAGGGGGCTGCTGCTGCTGCTGTTGCTGCTGCTGCAGGGGGCTGCTGTTGCTGCTGCTGCAGGGGGCTGCTGTTGCTGTTGCTGGCTGCTGTTGCTGCTGCTGCAGGGGGCTGCTGCTGCTGCTGTTGCTGCTGCTGCAGGGGGCTGCTGCTGCTGCTGTTGCTGCTGCTGCAGGGGGCTGCTGCTGCAGGGGGCTGCTGCTGTTGCTGGCTGCTGTTGCTGCTGCTGCAGGGGGCTGCTGCTGCTGCTGTTGCTGGCTGCTGTTGCTGGCTGCTGTTGCTGCTGCTGCTGTTGCTGGCTGCTGTTGCTGGCTGCTGTTCCTGGCTGCTGTTGCTGGCTGCTGTTGCTGTTGCTGCAGGGGGCTGCTGCTGCAGGGGGCTGCTGCTAGCTGCTGTTGCTGCTGCTGCTGCTGTAGCCTCGCTCTATCTCTCTCTCTCTCTCTCTTCTCTTTTTCTCTCGTATCTCCCCCCCCCCCCTCCCTCCATCTCTCCTTAAACTCAGTCCTGCCCATCTTTACCTCTCCCATCAACTTTGTGGTGGTAGTTGTGGGTGTGCTGTACCCGTGGTCCGGGGTCGAGGCTGGTTCTCTGCCTCTTCCTGAGGAGCTTATTCTGTCTTGATTGTGCAGCCCGTCCTCCCAAAATGGGGTGGTAAATGTAAGGAGACAAATAAGAGCAATTATGTACTATTCATAGCAGTTAGGAATTGTACTTATTTTCACTTAGTATTAAATCGTACTGTCAAATATATTGTGAATATTTGAGTTTACCTGAAAAACTGAATAGAAAACCACAACCTCACCTAACCGTCTTAGTTTTTGAAGATAATAATTTTATTGCTTCTTAATTACAATTAGTACTTAACCTATAGCTATATTGATATTACAGTTTTATAAAACTAATAAAACAAAACTAAAAAATATCAATAAATTGTAAAGTAACTCAGGATATTTTAAAATTTTGTATAAAATCTATATTGTTTAATAAACCTGAAAAAAAAATTCCTGATATTTAAAACTTGTGTATTGCAATTTGAATTTGAAAATTTCATCCTAAAATTATGAGTGTCTTAACAGAAAACGAGGAGAATTAAATCGGGGGAGGGGGTTGGGTAATGTAACAGCCCCATAAGTGCAATTATGCACTGTTTATGACAGTATGAAAGTGTACTTATTACACTTAGTATTAAATCGTACTGTCAATTCGGAGAATGATTTATGAATGATCAGGTATAATATTTATCAGGTAATATAGGTATAATATTAGGTAATGAGAAATAATATATGCCGCTATACTGATATGGTTAATGATTTTGTCGTGTGAAGTACTAGGCTGTGGTATAAGGCTGTGGTGTAAGGCTGTGGTGTAAGGCTGTGGTGTAAGGCTGTGGTATAAGGCTGTGGTATAAGGCTGGTGTGTCCCACAGGTTCGCCCTGGACCTGTACCGGAAGCGGTTCCTGGATGTGGACCTGCCGTTCAACAACCCTTTCAGGAATACCACCATGCTCGGTTACAACTACGATACTAAGGTAAGGCCCTGATACCTCCATAAGTCCTCCACCTGATACTTCACTCATACCCAACCCCGACGGATCACTCATACCCACCCCTGATGGATCACTCGTACCCACCCCTGATGGATCACTCGTACCCACCCCTGATGGATCACTTGTACCCACCCCTGATGGATCACTTGTACCCACCCCTGATGGATCACTCGTCCCCACCCCTGATGGATCACTCGTACCCACCCCTGATGGATCACTCGTACCCACCCCTGATGGATCACTCGGACCCACCCCTGATGGATCACTCGTACCCACCCCTGATGGATCACTCGTACCCACCCCTGATGGATCACTCGTCCCCACCCCCTGATGGATCACTCGTACCCACCCCTGATGGATCACTCATACCCACCCCTGATGGATCACTCGTACCCACCCCTGATGGATCACTCGTCCCCACCCCTGATGGATCACTCGTCCCCACCCCTGATGGATCACTCGTACCCACCCCTGATGGATCACTCATACCCACCCCTGATGGATCACTCGTACCCACCCCTGATGGATCACTCATACCCACCCCTGATGGATCACTCGTACCCACCCCTGATGGATCACTCGTACCCACCCCTGATGGATCACTCGTACCCACCCCTGATGAATCACTCGTACCCACCCCTGATGGATCACTCGTACCCACCTCTGATGGATCACTCGTCCCCACCCCTGATGGATCACTCGTACCCACCCCTGATGGATCACTCGTACCCACCCCTGATGGATCACTCGTACCCACCCCTGATGGATCACTCGTCCCCACCCCTGATGGGTACGAGCGATCCGTGCTACTTGATCACTCAAGTAGTACGGATCACGAGTCAGTGGGAACTGAAATATTTTGAGGTCAGTTCCCGCTCACCCGTCGAGGTTTTTGAGGTCAGTTCCCGCTCACCCGTCGAGGTTTTGAGGTCAGTTCCCGCTCACCCGTCGAGGTTTTTGAGGTCAGTTCCCGCTCACCCGTCGAGGTTTTTGAGGTCAGTTCCCGCTCACCCGTCGAGGTTTTTGAGGTCAGTTCCCGCTCACCCGTCGAGGTTTTTGAGGTCAGTTCCCGCTCACCCGTCGAGGTTTTTGAGGTCAGTTCCCGCTCACCCGTCGAGGTTTCCAAGTAAACAGTTTTCAGAGTTTTTATTTCTCTCGCTGGCACGCCCGTTTAAGACCGAAATAATTCAGAGCCCTTCTTCGGATAAGATGGTCAGATATATTTTGTTAAGGAAAATAGACATCTTAGCAGTGACTTTTAGTTTTATTTATTATCTATTATTATTATTATTATTATCTATATATTATTATAATATATATTTATTTTATTTATTTATTTATTTTAGTTTTTATTTATATCCATTTACTGCTGTTTCACCTGTTTAAGACCGAATTTCTTCAGAGTCTAGTTTACGACCGAAATTTGACAGAGTCCAGTTTAAGACCGAAATTTTTCAGAGACCAGTTTAAGACCAAAATTTGTTAGTTTTAATCGTCACAGCAGTAGTAAGAGAGTTCTTATGGATATAATTAAACTCTACCAACTTGAGCAAATGTGTTGAAAAGTTCATCAGAAGTTAGTTCTTGGGCTCGACTCTATACATTTATAAGTGTAGTTTCGCTATTAACCAATCAATTTCTCTGAAATTTAAAAGATAGTTATTTCGTACATAGAAATAAAAGAAAAGTGTTACCAAGCTCCAGCTCTCGTGCCCCCACCTTAGTTTATTGTTACAACTTCGTTAATAATTATTACTCACTCTGAAATTTAATCCCGCTGTTTTTCAGATTCAGTAAAATAAATCAAGACATTAACCAAGTTTTAGCTCTTGTCCTCTGCCTTACTTCATTCATACAACTTCTTTATTATCAGTCCAATCCTCTTAAAATTTATACCCGCTATATATCTTCCCCTTCCCCCCTTCCCTCACCCCCCCCTCACCCCCCCTTCCCTCACCCCTTCCCCCTTCCCTCACCCCCCCCTTTCCCTCACCCCCTTCCCTCCCCCTTCCCTCACCCCCCTCCCCCTTCCCTCACCCCCCTTCCCTCACCCCCCCCCTTCCCTCACCCCCCCTCCCCTCACCCCTTCCCTCACCCCCTTCCCTCACCCCCACCCTCCCCCCCTTCCTCACCCCCTTCCCTCACCCCCTCCCCCTTCCCTCACCCCTCACCCCCTTCCCTCACCCCTCCCCCTTCCCTCACCAACCTCCCCCTTCCCTCACCCCTCCCCCTTCCCTCACCCCTCCCCCTTCCCTCACCAACCTCCCCCTTCCCTCACCCCCTCCCCCTTCCCTCACCACCCCCCCCTTCCCTCACCACCTTCCCCCCCCCCTTCCCTCACCCCTTCCCTCACCCCTTCCCTCACCACCTCCCCCCTTCCCTCACCCCTTCCCTCACCCCCCTCCCTCACCCCCTTCCCTCCCCTTCCCTTCCCCCTCCCCCTTCCCTCACCAACCTCCCCCTTCCCTCACTTCCCTCCCCCTTCCCTCACCCCCTTCCCTCACCCCCTTCCCTCACCCCCCCCCTTCCCTCACCCCCTTCCCTCACCCCCCTTCCCTCACCCTTTCCCTCACCCCTTCCCTCACCCCCTTCCCCCTTCCCTCACCCCTCCCCCTTCCCTCACCACCTCCCCCTTCCCTCACCCCCTCCCCCTTCCCTCACTCCTCCCCCTTCCCTCACCCTCCCCCTTCCCTCACCCCCCCCTTCCCTCACTATCTCCCTCTTCCCTCACCCCCTCCCCCTTCCCTCACCCCCTCCCCTTTCCCTCACCCCTCCCCCCTTCCCTCACCCCTTCCCCCTTCCCTCACCCCTCCCCCCTTCCCTCACCTCCCCCTTCCCTCACCCCCTTCCCTCACCCCCCTTCCCTCACCCCCCCCTTCCCTCACCCCCTCCCCCTTCCCTCACCCCCTCCCCCCCCTCACCCCTCCCCCTTCCCTCACCCCTCCCCCTTCCCTCACCACCTCCCCCTTCCCTCACCCCCCCCCTTCCCTCACCCCCTCCCCTCACCCCTCCCCCTTCCCTCACCCCCTTCCCCTTCCCTCACCCCCTCCCCCCTTCCCTCACCCCTCTCCCCTTCCCCTCACCCCTCCCCCCTTCCCTCACCCCCCTCCCCCCTTCCCCTTCCCTCACCCCCTTCCCTCACCCCCTCCCCCCTTCCCTCACCCCCTCCCCCCTTCCCTCACCCCCCCCTCCCCCCTTCCCTCACCCCCTCCCCCCACCTTCCCTCACCCCCCCTCACCCCCTTCCCTCACCCCCTCCCCCCTTCCTTCACCCCCTCCCCCTTCCCTCACCCCCTTCCCTCACCCCCTTCCCTCACCCCCTCCCCCCCCCTTCCCCCCCCCTTCCCCCACCCCCTTCCCTCACCCCCTTCCCTCACCCCCTCACCCCCCTCCCCCTTCCCTCCCTCCCTCCCCCCCCTTCCCTCACCAACTCCCCCTTCCCCCCCCTCCCCCCTTCCTTCCCTCACCCCCTTCCCTCACCCCTTCCCTCACCCCCTTCCCTCACCCCCTTCCCTCACCCCACCCCCTTCCCTCACCCCCTCCCCCTTCCCTCACCATCTCCCCCCTTCCCTCACCATCTCCCTCCCCCCCTTCCCTCACCCCCTTCCCTCACCCCCCCCCCTCCCTCACCCCCTTCCCTCACCCCCTTCCCTCACCCCTTCCCCCCCCCCTCCCCCTTCCCTCACCCCCTTCCCTCACCCCCTCCCCCTCACCCCCCCCCTCCCCACTTCCCTCCCCACATCGTGAACAAGCGAGGGATTCGTAGAGAACATGAAAGAAAATGTGAAGAACGTGGAGAAACAGGTTAAAAATATGAACTGAACTTGTCGAGAATATGCTGTGAACATTTAGCAGAACATA